TTACTCCACACTATATCTACTCTTTGTAAACACGCTACGTAGTGGGGAAGCCACCAAGAACAAGGTGTCACAAATATCGCCTGAACTCCGTTAGAAATAAAAATCACTACCCCAAGAATATACAAACTACTCGTTATACACACATTACGTAGTGGGGATTGGGGAAATCATCAAGGTGTCGCCTGAACCCGTTAGAAATAAAAAATGCTATAATTTTATTTATTTTTTTGCTTTATTTTCTTAACATAAAAATATACTTATATAGAATGATTCACAATCCGTGACACCCATAAAAATAATATCGATACCTCATCTTCAAAATCTACCCTCCGCCACTAATGCTACACCAATATAATATTGATCGCCTTAACATAACTAGCTACTTCATTCACCGTGCTCTTGCATGGACATCTAATGACACCAAGCATATGGAATAATAATTCAACAAAGTTACGATATATAAAATAAGTTTTGTCATGTAGTTGTACGATCTATCCAGGAATGTTCATAAATAACGAGAGATTGGTTGATGCAAATCTTAATTGGTTGCATGTTTGTAGACGTTTAATCTCCATTATTATTATTATCTTGATTGATTAAATTAGCTGGCAATCACTCTTTTTTGTTTAGGACAGTCTTTTCACTAATAATAACCAATTATGTTGATGTGATTTGATTAGTCTTAATTTAATAATTAATAATTAACCACCCCCACCTCCTATTTTCCCCTTCTTTCACTAACATTTTTGCCCATCTTTTGCCGGTTCTACAACTGGCGCATTATTCGATTTGATGCTCAATCAAACACTTTCATGTGTTTTCTTATAGAATTTACAAAATTTTAATTAATTTCAATTAATTTTTATTAATATTTTTATTGTAGATGTGATGAGGTGGGTTGTAAATTCCTAGTTATTATTAATGAGAAACTATAGCATGGCTAAAATTTGGGGTATGGAAGTTGATGCAAGAAACTAGTTTTATATTCTAGAAAAGAAAGGTATGTTTATTGCAAAATCCAATGATTTTTGAAGTCCAAAAAAAACTAGACATAAAAATTATACAACCCATTTTAATATACTCATGTTATGGAAGTATGGGTCAATACTCAATATAACATGAAATTGTGATTTTGTTTTGTGTGAATTGGTAGGAATAAATTGCTTCTTCCTCCACTTTTTAAGTTACCTCGGTTGTTCAATGAGAACTTCAACGAAATTCTATAAATAAAAGTAAAATTGAAAACATATTCTAAAGGAAGCAAAGCTAAGTTAGCTAAGTCACTAATATAATATACTCCCTTCCTTTCAAACTAATGGTTTCATTTTAACTTTTCACGATTGTTAATGTAAAATTTTGGATATTAACATCTCTAATTATGTATTTGTAAGAAATAAAAGATAATCGATATTTTGAAAATATATTTTGAGATGTATCCAACAAAATATTGTATGGTTAAATTTTTTTCTCATTACTCAATTATAAACAATAGGTAGTTAAAATTATGTATAGGAAAATGACAGTTTTTCAAGTGTAACCATCGTTCGAATAAACAAAGCAAGTGCAAAAAGTGATAATATCCCAAAAATAAAAGAACCCTAGCACTTATACATGTGAACATTGCTCTTGATAATTACTTATTTTTACTTAAATCATTTAACTAAAATACTATTCTGTATGTAATTTACATATCAATTTCAAATTAGTCAAATTATAAGTAATGATACAGTACAATAAATGAAATTCAGGTATATAGAACGTCTTTGAAGAAGAGATTTAGAGGCTGGTTCAAAATATGAATGTATACATCATACTTCTGCATATACGACAATGCTAACTTAAATCTCTCCATCATTTATAAATGTGCACAATACTAAGATAGCCATGTTAATTGACAATTCGACATATAATCCCTTAATAATTAATATAATAAATTTACATTGGGGCCAGCTAGTGAAACTTCTAATAAAGCACATAAGCCTAAGTACAACAGTTAAACTACTGTAAACATTTTGAAACCTTAAATCCTCCTAGACTCTAGTAAAACCATATTTAAACTTAAACTATGTCCCAAATTGGTACAACTTTACTCTGTAATTGTTGAGTTTATTAGTTCAACAATTTGAAAAGCTAAGCATACGAAGTATATACATACATATTGTTCTTCATTCCTACATGTTCCATTTCGTGTTTCATACCGTATATATATTTTTGTGTATCATCTAAGTCGAGTGAAGCCTAAGTTTTTATGAGGGGTATGATTCGATCTTTTATTTTATATTAAATAATGTATGTAAGTGGGAGGTAATAAGGCTCTTGACCTTCGACTTATAATCGTAATATCGGTGTACATTGATTCGAACTAAAATTTGTTAATAGTGAAAGTAATTTTATAAATAGTTAGATAACATTCTTTGTATTGTGTATTGGTACAATAAAATAAAATGCATTGCATACTTATTGTTAAATTAAGGTAGGTTCACACGAGCAATTGAGCAAAAAATTAGTGGCCTGGGCTTGTACCATACAATGTGTATAACACTTACATAGTACAATTGGTTGTGTAACGTAATAGAAAATCCTATTGAGATGTACAAGAAGTACGTATATTTTAGGCTAAAAAGTATAATTATATTATTGGTATTATACCAACAACTCTAATTAATATGTTAATTTTCACTTTTCAGAAGCTTGATTTATATACATCCTCCCTAATTTACACAAATTAATGGAGACATATTTTATTACTATATTTTTATAATAAAAAAAAAAAAAAAGCCTGAGTACAACAATAATAGACAAATTAGGAGAACCAATTAACTGACAAAGTTGAATTATGTTTGGATGTTATTGGTGCTCACACATGGTCGGTTGACAAGATGAATATTAAAACTCTACTGACTAAGCTGTCCACTGTCCATACAAATTATAAAAACTATGTAATTAAAGTTAATAATATTTATAAACTTAAAAATAAGGTATTAATTGAGAGGAACATTCCAAAGATCAGTGACAAAGAGTGACAGAATGGAAAATTCAGATATGCACGTGTATAAAGAGTACTTGGAACATTTACATTGGAATTTTTCATGCACTCTGATTTTTTGTCAGTGTAGAAGTGACATCCATTTCATTTAACCATCTAATTATAAATAAAATAATTTGTAGTAAATGGTACGGAGTTAATTACTCCTTCCATCTCAATTATGTGTCACTTTGCATGATATCTGATATGAAAAACTTGCATTGAAAAAAATATGATGATCTCTAGTTTGCTATATGGTTAAAGTTTCGTTGAATATACGGTTAATGTATATTGTACAAAATTTGACTGAACGCTACCATCATTTTTAAATGGAGGGAGTTTTGTGAATCTAACATATACCCGACACCTTTTAAAATCCCTTGTTCTTCTCTTTATTGGATTTTCTTTTGACTTACCCCACTAATCCACTATATTGTCTTTGCTTTCTTTTCCTATTACAATACAATTTAGTTTTATTTCCTGTTTTTTTTTTTTAAGTTTAAGTGTTAATTTCTTGTTTAGCCAGAGTGACATTGGTGTTTTTTTCCCCCTTACCTTGACATGCTAGGTACATGCAACTCAAGCTTATCATAGATTTGATCCTACTGATGCCAAATTTCAAAGTTGTTTTTAATTCGAAGAAAATGTTATTAAATGAATTTAATTTTCACAGAAAATATAGCTCAACTAAATTCAACTTTTTAAGCTTTATTTTTCGGAGAAGTATACAATGAGGAGAAGAGGATTGTATCACGTAAGAAAAATATTACTCCGTATCTACTATTGCAATATAAACAAGAAGGATAGGTAAGGCAGTCGCCAATTCAAGGAATGGGCCAGGAAAAAAAAAATCTATGAAATTATTTTCTCAACTTCACAAAGCAAATTTTTTGGAATTTGTTGTCTGAAAAATAGAATTTTAAAAAAAATAAATAAAGAAAGAAAAGTAAGGAGAATTGGAGGAGGTAGCAAACCCCTCAAAAAAAAAAAAAAACCAAAGAAAAAAAAAAAAAAGGAGAACTGGAGGAGGTAAGAGTTTGGGCTCAAGTAGCCCAGTTGTATTGGTGTAAACCACTCAAAACATTGGGCCTAGATTTTATGATAAACTCCTACAGGCCCATTTTCACAGTCAAGTCATTCTCGTTGAAGACAGGACCAAAATAACACAGTAATCAAGTCCAACTATAGCCTTCAGTGTAATTCGCATATAAATGGATAAAAAATGGTAATGGTTCAATACTTCAATCTATAAAAAGGAGACCATTAACAATTGTGTAGTTTTCCTCGTTTAAAAAAAAATGATAAACGATAATGACACTTAGGGTCCGTTTGATAGGGTGTAAAACATTTTCAATGTAAAATGGTTTTCCATGAAAAGCATTTTACAATGGAAAACTCATTTTCAAAAAAAGTTTTCCGTTGTTTGGTTGAATGGAAAATGATTTTCCATTTTAAGCATTTTTCATTGTTTGATTGAACTGAAAATTCGATTGTGAGGGAAAATGTTTTCCCTCCACTTGTGATGGAAAATGTTTTCCTTCTAAATTGGGGGGAAAATGTTTTCAATAAGGTGGAAAATGATTTTCCACCCAAGTTTTACATTTTAATGTTTTACACCAAACCAAACAATGTAAAATGGGAAAACACTTTTCAGTGAAAATGTTTTACGCCCTACCAAACAGAGCCTTATCATCTAAGAATAGTTTTCACATTGTCTTAGCTTATCATAACTACAATGTGGATATGGATGACTTGATAAAAACCGTTGTGCTACTAGTAAGGTATGGTATTAACTTTTTTTAGACATCCTAAACTAAGGGAATTCACAAGAAATACCCATAAACTCGCTCGAGAAATAGACATTACACCTTCAGGAATTGTAGCAATGTCCAAAGTTTAATTCCACCGTGTTATGATTAGCCGAACAATTAGCACATGCCCGTACAACAACCAAAAGAAAAAAATTTAAATCAAATTATAGCAATTTGGCACAAACTAATAAATTTATTCCCCAATTATTGTCTTTCTAAAGGAAGAAATCACACATTCGCTTATGTTACATACAGTCAGGCCAATCCAAACTAACAAAAAGGCTTGCTGAAGTAAAGCGAGCCCAATTAGGACATAGCAGACATAGCTCAGCAAGCATCGAAAGCACGTAGCTCAGTAATGATTGTAAGCTACAAAAATTCGAGCTCAGAAGCTTGCCTCACATAAAATGTAACTTTAAGGCAATCCCTACAAACCTCTACTACCTAAATCACAGAATAGTTCTCGATTAAAGACTTACAATAAGACTGCCTAAGAGTCAGGAATCATTTTCACAATCAGGAAAAACCACATTAACAAGCAACATCCATCGAAAGAAACCCTACCTACACATCGACATAATACAAGATTTTATCATAGGAGCAGGAGCTGGAAGTCAGAGTTCCATCTTCACCAGCTCTTTCGAGGTTTTGGTGATTGTATCTGGCTGCAACCAATCCTTAGCGCATATGAGGGCTTCAAGAGTCTCTGGCCGCAATGAGCACCGGTATGAGTCCATCTCCTTGAACGAAGAATCAAATACGGATTCAGCAGAAACAGTTGACAAAGGAACAGTCAAGATATCACGGGCCATCTTTGAAAGGGTCGGATATTTGATCTTGTTTAGCTTCCACCAACCTAGCACATCGAAATCTTGGATTCTTGGTAAGAGAGACTCCTCCAAATACTGATCCAACTCTGACTTCATTTGCTGGCTTGTTGTCTCCATAATATACATATCAAAGTCTGAAAGTCCATTGCTGTTGAGAATGCCTTGATCTTCTCTCTTGACAATACCGTCAGTCCCATCTTCAAGAGGGGTCAATGGAAGAGGATGAGTGACATACTCATGGAAAAGCTCATGGATTCCCTCATCGACATTTCGGATGTATACAGGAGCTTCATCCATGAAAATTTTTGTAAAACTGAACTCCACAAGTTTCATCTTAAACCGAGGATCCATAGCTACAGCAACCGCTAAGACCAGGCAAGAATTCTTCCAATATTTGAGAAACCTGTCTTGCAAAGGCTTAGCAAGGCCAGCTACAAAGAGATCATCACTTGCAGCTGCACGGGCTAGCTCCAGCTGAATCTTCCACACCTCATGGAAGAACACGTTAGAAGACGGAGTAGGTTTTACCAAAAGCAAATTTGCAGTGTCGTACAGAAGTTTAAGGTACATGCAGATGTTCTCAACTTGACTCCAATCATCCATGGAAGGGGCATCCTTGTAATCAGGGTCACATGTATCTAAGCATGAAAAGACTTGCTTCAACTCAGAAGCAGCAAGGAGCATTTCATACGTTGTGTTCCATTTTGTGATGTTGTCAAGAGAAAGAGACTGTTCAGATGGTACCTGAAGCTGTTGCTTCAACTCAAGAAATTTTTCCTCGTGAGATTCTGAAGTCTTTACATACTTCATACTGGTCCTGATTTTCTTGATAGTTGCTTCACTAGCAGAGATCACTTCTTGGGCCATGCTGCTCAAAGTGCAGGCAATGCAACTCTTAATCAACAACTGTCCATCAAGAAGCATTGAATTTTTCACAGCAAGCAAGGCCCTTAGATTTTCAAGTGCAGCTTCACCCAGTGGCTGATTAAATGTAATTGAGGCTAATTTGCGATCTAAACCCCAGTCGGATAGACAAGTACCAATGGCATGGCTAAGTGCTCTATCTGACTCTGGAAAGGGCTCCATCACAACATTAAGAAGTCTCCGATGCAACTTCCAGTCATTATCAATGAATTGCCCAGAAACAAAAACAAAACCAGTTGATTGACTAGAACTCCACATATCCAATGTCAGGCATATTCGGCCTGGAATTCCCTCAATAAACTTTTGAAGATTCTGTTTCTCCCTCAAGAATATTGCAACACAATCCCCTTGTACAATGTTGAAGCTGACCATATCAAAACGGGGCTGAAGATTCTGGACAAAGGAAACAAATCCTGGATGTTCAACCATGTGAAGTGGATAATCATGCATGATGATCATCTTAGCAATCTCATGCCGGCAACGATCCTGATCAAAGATGAGATACGGTGAGCTAGAGGTCCTGTAACGCCTTTTTGGTTGGTGTTCAGTACCCGCATCAGTTCCACCACTCTTTGGCATATATGGGGACAACTGATTCTTCTCCTGCTGACGCAAAACAACAGGACAAGTCCCTTTAGCAATATGGCGCTTCAGGTGGCTTGTCCCAGCAACCTTAGAGCCAGTACTGTATGCAAATGATTGCTTGCACACTTTACAATAGGCCCTCCTGCAGCCAGCACCAACAGTTTCAATAGTAAAGTGCTCCCAGACTATAGACTTCTTCTTCCGACGCTTATTAGGTTGGGTATCAGGAGTTTCTTGCTGTGAATTAGGGACCTCCGTGCTGAGCGGCTGTGTATTAACCAGCTCCATGCCAACAGCATGAGAGTTTACATGTTCACCCCCATGAATGTGCGAATTTCCATGTTCTACCCCAAGTGGTTGCAAATGAACTGGCTCTAGATTACCATGCTGAAAATGCACAAGCTCTGCATTGACTGGCTGGGAATGCACAAACTCAGAGGCAATAGGCTGCGAATGCACAATATCTGAACTAAGAGGCTGGGAATACACAAGATCTGCACTTCCAGGCTGGGAATGAACCATCTCCACAGTGACTGGATGCGAAAGCACATGCTCAGCATCAACTGACTGTGGATGCATATCCTGCGAACAGACTGGCGGTGGATAAACAACCTCCTCGCTAAGCGGCTCAGGGTGAGCAAGCTCGGTACTCGCATGTTCTTCACCAGTAGCATGCTGATCAACTTGTTCCCCCATGCCCATGTCCATTGGCTCTGGTGCAACTCGTTCTGGTTTCACAGTCACTGGATGCTCCGCTTGTGAATTTGCAAACTCTGCCTCTCTTGGCTGTGCATCAGCTTCTTCTGTATCAATCATTTCATTGTTTTCATCAATGGAATCAAGAGGCTGAGTATACACGAGATCTGCACTGCCAGGATGGGGATGAACCCCCTCTGCGTTGACCGGGTCCGAATGAACAAGCTCAGCAGAAACTGACTGTGGTTGAACAAGTTCCGAAGGCTGTGATTGCACATGCTCCATGCTGACAGTCTGTGAATGCATTTCTTCTACACTCTCGGGCTGTGAATCGACATGCTCTGAGTTGACTAATTGTGGATGCGCATCCTCTGAAGAGACTGGTGGCGTATGTAAGACATCCTCACCAAGCGGCTCAGGATGAGCAAGCTCATTGTTCACATGCTCTGACTCAGCCTGTTTACCAGCATTCTGAGGATCAACTTGTTCGCCAATAGGCTGCGAGTTTGCAACCTCCTTATCCACACGCTCTGGTTCAGCTCGCTCTGGCTTAACCTTCACAGAATTTTCAGCTCCAGGCAGTGCATCAGCCTGTTGTGAATCTACCATTTCGTTGTTTTCATCAGCGGTTGTCATAATTCAAATGAAGCCAAAACCTGCAGAATGTACAATAATGAGATAGTCTGAGCAAAAACTCTGCAGTAAAGTATCATAACTTGCATAAACTAACAAACCAGATACACTGAAAACAACATTGTCAAACTATTCTATCTTAAAGCTTATATTCTACATGTTCCCAAAATGCTCATAAGAAATATCAAGAAGCCCTCAAAATGTCTAAAATCTGTTTATAATCCCTTTTACTTCACTTTGTAGATGCAATTAATAGCTCATAACAATTTACCTCCCAATTCCGAAATGACAAACACTGATGTCTGAAGATGCACAACAACAACAACAACAAAGTCTTAGAGTCGACCAACATGAATCGTCATAAGGCTCTGAAGGTGCACATAACTAAGAAAAACACCACAAAACCACCAAATTTTGAGTTTCAGTGTGCAAATTAACTCCCTTGCGCCTTATTTAGCATCCAATATCCTTTAATTGATCAAAATTCCAGTCTATAAATCTTCACTGATAAACAACAATGCCCTTTTTCAAAGACTTTATCATGTATTCCTCTAAAACATTCGATAATTATGACGATTCGCAAGCAATGAACACTTGAAACCTCCACAAACAACACCGAAAAATCGAAAATCACAAAACTCAATTGCAACAAACCACAATTCTCAATTTTTTTCATCAAACGCAAAATAAACCAGAATATAATCAATAGGTTCTTACAATTCGCACAACCCAAAACCCACCAGCAATTAATGTCATAAATACAGATGAAAACAAACAACATACATAGCAGAATAACCAAAATAAATCAAAATTAAACCCTTAAACAAACACACAAAAAGCCCAGAATTGACCCGCCAATAGATTCAAATTCAATTAATTATGATAGAATATAATTAAACAATAGAAGAAAAGGAGAAAGAAATTGAATACCTTTAAAAATAATAATGAGTAAATCACTAAATCAAAAGGATCGAAGAATTCGATCTAAAACTGGGCTCAACAAACAAATCATACGAAGAAGACCCAAAAACCAAAATCAATAAAAGGTGGGAGAAGAGAGAGAAAATTGAATTGAATACCTTAAAAAAATTAATGGGTAAATCACGAAATCAAAAGGGGTTTCAGAATTCGATCTAAAACTGGGCTCATCAAACAAATCAAACGAAGACCCAAAGACCAAAAGAAGTCAAATCAATAGAAAGAGGAGAAAGAAATAGAATTGAATACCTTTAAAAAAAATGAAATGGGTAAATCACAAAATCAAAAGGGTTGAAGAATTCGATCTGAAACTGGGCTGATCAAACAGATTGAAATCGAACGAAGCCCACACTCAAGAGGAGAGAGAAGAAGAAAGAGAAATACGGCTGGATTTGGTTTTGGTTTTGGTTTTGGGTGTGATTTAGGGTAAGTGGGTAAATTGAAGGAGGGGTCAAGAAGGTGGGATTGGACGGTTAAGATGTGTTTATTGATTTTGTGAATATCTCATTCATTCAATTGCATGGGCTTTGGCCTCTTGAACAATTGGGAAATTTTGTGCTACTAAATAATAGATAAAGTCCAATGCCAACTATGGGTAGGAGGAAATTTTTTTAATGAAAATACGTAATACTTTATCATTGTCGTAATAATCGTAATAATAGGATTTTGTATTCTTGTATAAAGTTTTAGGGTATTTATAGGGTAAGGGTTTATTTGATTGTTAATAGGAGAGAGAAATAATAAACAAGTAATGTAAGTGGGGTAATTAGGAGAGAGTATTATATAATAAAATAATTATATTAGTATATGGAACCCGTGCGATACATGCTTTTTTGTATTTTTATAAAACAAATATTTTATATATTTATATGATAAAATTGTGATGTTATTTGTTTCTTTTACTTATAATTCTCGTATTTTTCACATATAATTCACAATTATGGTTAAAAAAAGGGATTTGTTAAACATCGCCCACAAATTACTACATAAAGCCCACAAAATTCACTTGGTTTGCCAAAATTGCCCTTGACCTTAAAAAAAACACTCACACTCTCATCACTCACACTCTCATCACTCACACTGTCATTGCTCATCTTCTTTCAACCTCTCTAAAAAAAAATCAAATAACGGCAATGTCGAGGCGGCAAGGCAAGGAATTGGCGGCGGCGGCGGAGGGAAGGATGTCCCAAGGAGGAAAGGTACATTTTGTTAAAAAAAAAAAAAAAAAAGAGAAAAACCGTCGTGACGGCGGTGGGGCGCCCTGGCTGGACGCCCAGGCAGCGGTGGTGGCGCCAGCTGCAGACGCCGCCACCAGTTGGCTGGCGCCTGGGCTGGACGCCACAGCCACGGTCGTGGCGTTTATTCAAGGCGCCGCAGCCGTGGTGTGGCGTCCAGCCCAGGCGCCAGCCAACTGGTGGCGGCGTCTGCAGCTGGCGCCACCACCGCTGGCTGGGCGTCCAGCCAGGGCGCCCCCCCTTTTTTTTATATTTTTTTAAAAAATAGTTTTTAATTTTTTTTTTTTTTTGTGTAATATATTTTTGAATTGTTTTTATATTTTGTTGTTTATTTTTATAAATTTTTTCAATTTCGTTGTATTTTTTCTAAGTTTATAATTTGTTTACAATTATTTGTATGTTTTTAGTTTATTTGATTTGCGATGATAATTATTTATCATAAAAATTTTTGTATGTTTATATATTTTAAAATTTTGTGTAGAATTCACTGGGTCGTCATGGTGCGGGGAAGAATATAGAGCTTCTTAGTAGAAATTATTCAGTGGAGAGGTCGGGGCATAGACATGTCAGATCCCGTGGTATTTTGGCCTCAGCTCGTAGAGAACGGATCCACCGTCGGGATGAGGATGACGATGACGATGATGATGCTGAGGAGGGTGACCAGGAGGAGGAGCAGGAGGAGGGCGCAGATGAGGATGAGGATGTGGACGATGGCAGTGGACCGTATGATGATTACGGTCCATTCAGTCAGAGGGTTGATGACATGTACGTTTTTTGTTGTATGCAGTGGATGGGAAAGGTAATGCAGGACGTACAGAAACTCTCTCTTGAGAAGGACAGCATGAGTGCAACAGGGAGAGTTGTTGTTGATAGTCTAGAACACACCCTTGCGCAGTGGGAGTCGTCGTCGAGGAGGGATTACTGATGGTTATTGTATTTTATTTATAGAGCATTATGTTGGACATTATGTTGTAAAATTGTAACATTTTAGATTGTTCTTTTAGCTTCCAACTTAAACATATTATCAGTGCTGTTTTTAAATTTTGATATAACCGTTCGTGGATCCGCGCAACTTACCCATGCAACATATAGAATGCAGTAAGCAATACAATATAAAATATTAATGTTCTCATTAAAAGAGCAACGTACAAATAAGATTATAAATAAAGAATGTAAACATGAAAAACTAAAATGCAGCTAGGGTGTTCCATTCGTGGATCCGGTCACGATATAGCGCATCCCAACCCTCTACACTCGCTGTGCGAATGTTGTACCACCGAGGTATAATCGGTGGCACTGGAAAATCGGTTGACATGTCTAGTCGGATGAAATGTCTGTATGACGACCCAAGAAACGCAATAGCTAGCTCTCTGACCGGTGTGGTGACAGTCTAGTCGGATGAAAATCTCTTTCTTCTCTTTTGCGATAACGGTCACATCTCAAAATGCGATCCATTCTACCATCCCGTTGAGATTTATGAGTTACTACTACCAAGCAAAATCCAGCTGCAATTGCAACCTGTTTTGCCCAATCAATCGCCTGTTGAGCTTCTTCGAATGGACCATCATGTCCAAATATCCCACTGTAATCATTTCCGTCTCCACCATATTCCTGCATCAATTATATATTACAATAAATACATTTAACGGATAATACATTTAATTTCTATATTTACACAGAATTAACACAAAAAAAAAACATAATTATATATAATTAAACTTAATTTTTATAAAAACCCAATTCGAATTTTCAAACTAAATTTAAAAATATACCATTTTGAATTTTCAAATTTAATTTTAAAAAAACCTATTTCGAATTTTCAAATTTAATTTTAAAAAAACCCATTTCGAATTTTTTTAAAAAATCATTTTCGATTTTTTTTTTTACAAAAAAATTAAATAAAAAACAACAAAATCAAAAAAGAAAAAAAAAATTAATTATTAAAGGTGGCGTCTGCCAGGGCTGCCACAACCACTGGACTGGCGCCTGGCAGGGCCGCCTCACCCAGTGGAGTGGCGTCTGCCCAGGACGCCAGTCTGGTGGTCTGGGCGTCTGGGCTGGACGCCACTCTGGTGGTTCTGGCGTCTGGCTTGGACGTCCAGGCTACGGTTTGGGCGTCCACCCTAGGCGCCGGAGCCACTCCGACGGTAAACCGTGAATTTTAACGGTGACTTACCTCGTTTTCCGTCGACGACGACGTACCTCCGGCGTCCCCCGCATCTCCGGCTTGCCCTCCGGTCTCCCCCGGCGATCCAGTACGGCTCCACATTTTTTACACCGAGATTATTTCAATTTTAGAAAAAGGGCATAATGGTCAAACCATATCATATTTGTGGGCTTTATATGGTAAATTGCGGGCGATGTTTAGCGTTTCACTAAAAAAAAGGTGTGTGAATAGTGTAAAGTCTATCTATTGCGCATCTGGAAACCCAAAAGAACACAAATTCAATGATCGGAAGAAAACCAACGGAGGAAGAGAAAGAGAAGTGTCGTGAACGTCGGAGCAGCGGAGAGATCTAAGTTTTTGGAAGAGAAGGAAAGTGATAAATGGGATTTGAGAATTGGATTGAATGGGTTGGGGTGATAGAAAGATTAAGACGGACCAATGGAGTAAGATATGATAATTATATGGTTAAGGCAGATTTTAATTTTGAGGAGAAAGAAATGCTGAATTGAAAAAACAAAGGAAATAAAACTTTATCAGTTTGGGTTGTGTTACATGAACCATTATATAGTTGGATTTAAATTATATGGTTGGTTGGTTTTATGATATATTAATATGTGATATGGTCTAATTTGGGTGTGATTTTTGAAGGCAATTTTAACTTTACTACTTCGTATAAGAAAGGAAATGAATGAATTTATGTGGGGTTTTTTATTGGTGGACTAAGACCACTATCAGCAGTGAGGAAAAAAAAAACCTCTCAATCTCTCTCTACCCACTTTCTCACTCCTCCCATACAATTTCTCTCATCAAATGTTTTTTTCACTACATCAATGAGGAGAAAAAAAAAACCTCTCATCACTTTTTCCTCCACTATTTACTATACCCCACCATAATACACATCATCTTTTTATTTTATCTTTATTTTGAAATAATGTTTATACTACATATTTAATTTTCCAATACAATTAAAATATGTGAAAATAATTTATTTTTTAATTACATTTAAAAATAATTTAATAAAAATGTATAATTTAATAACAATTTATAAGTTTTATATTTACTTTTCAATTACGTTTAAAAATAATATAATAAAAATTTATAATTTTTATATTTATTTTTCAATTACGTTTCAATTATAACTTAATAAGATTGTTATTTATTTGTCAATTACGTTTTAATTATAATTAATAATTTTTTTTTATTTTTCAATTACGTTTTATTTATAATTTAACATTTGAATTAGTAGCACATTTTTGTAATGAACACATTAAATAGTCACATGGGAACTTCAATAACGGTAATACAAACACATGGGATGTTAAATAACGGTACAAGTACGAACTAGATAAAAGTGGTTCTACTAAAATAAAATACAAACACGAGTATTAAAACATAAATAACGATACGGTTACAAATAACAAACTAAAAAATTATTTATTCAACCGCATTATGACGAAAGTTCTGCCATATGTGCTCCACTAAATCTTGTTTCAGAGATGAATGAATTTCTCTATCACGAAGGGAAATCCTTCTCTCCAAATACGTGTTGAAATCAATGTTGGGTGGTCGCCCGACGTTGAATTCAAATGGCTCGTTGTTAAACACCGTGGCACTTGTGCTCGGGTCTGCCCGCCTCACCGTACGTTGTGGTCGATCTTCTTCGTAGTATCGTCTCAAAACATCTGCACGTGCGTAGTTGTGTCGTTCATCCTCGACGATCATGTTGTGCATTATTATACAGGCTTTCATAATATCACAGAGAATATCTTCGTCGTATGCAAGTGTTGGTTGTCGTAGTATAGCGAACCTAGCTTGTAAAACTCCGAAAGCCCGTTCGACGTCTTTCCGAACTGCTGCTTGTTGATCAGCAAACAACTTGTCTTTTCTAACATGAGGATGTGTTATACCCTGTATAAAAGTTGTCCATCTCGGGTAAATCCCATTGGCCAAGTAGTAGCCCAACTCATATTGATGTCCATTAACCGTAAAATTTATGGGTGGTGCATGACCTTGTAAAACATCATCAAATACCGGTGAACGGTAAAGGACATTCAAATCGTTACATGACCCAGGCATTCCAAAGAACGCATGCCAAATCCATAGATCCTGATCAGCAACAGCTTCAAGAATGAGAGTTGCACTCTTGCTACGACCAGCATATTGTGCCTTCCAAGCAGTAGGACAATTCTTCCACTCCCAATGCATGCAGTCTATACTACCAATCATCCCTGGAAAACCACGCAGATCATTTTGATGAAGGATTCTCCTTAAATCTTCATCTGTAGGTTTTCGTAGATATTCACTTTCAAATTGTGAAATAACCCCTTGACAGAAATGTTGCAATGCCTGCCTAGAGGTTGTTTGGCCGAGACGTAAATATTCATCCACAGCGTCTGCGGCTACGCCATACGCTAACATTCTTATTGCAGCGGTGCATTTCTGCAACGGTGATAAACCAAGCTTCCCAGCTGCATTTCGACGTTGCTGGAAGAATTGATCCCCCTCAACCACTTTGCTCATAATGCGGCAGAACAATGATCATTGCATACGGAATCTACGTCGGAATTGGTTGTCGTTATACACTGGATTATTCGCGAAATAATCGTTGTATAGTTGCACATGCCCTTTTTCTCTTTCCCTATCCCTTTTGGGCTCCGTTGATAGTTCAGTTTCATTATTTAGTGGAGGTTCTTGTGGTTGGTCTGGAGGAAGTAATCTATGAGGTAGGTGATTTGCTACATACTCATCAACTAAGCAATCAAATTCATGATTTTTGGAGAAATCGTCAAAAGAGGAGCTTGAGGTGGAAGAAATGAAAGACATTTTTATTTTGGTTAGGTAGTTGGTGTGTTTGGGATTGTTTCCGTTTATAATAACACAGGTATATATAGAAAATGTGAAAGTCATTATTGGATGGTAGTGGTAAGTTTGCATGTGAGTTAAAGTGGAATTGAAATTGCATGTGACTCGAGGTGACAATTCAATGCATTATTTTAGCATGTGATTGTGCAGTGTTATTGATGTTTGAGCAGAGGTGACAATTCAGTGCATTACTTTAGCATGTGATTGTGCAGTGTTATTGATGTTTGAGCAGAGGTGACATGTGACGCGTGTCAGATTGTATCTTTATCAGATATCAGCTTTATCAATTTCAAATTACTAAGAAAACATGTGAATTAACTGAATATTAATAATAAATTTAACATTACATAAACATAAATTTAACATAAACTAAATAAATACTAGTACATTAAATTAACTGAATAAAACATAAAGTTAACATTAACTAAATAAAACATAAGCCAAATCTCCAAGTCACACGTGCCTTCTACCATATAGCATTGCACGTAATTCCTCCTTGTAGGCCTCTTCATCGGGAGTTAGATCAGTACCCTTTGAAAGTAGATCTTGCAGCATTTCATAGTTCAGCCTTCTCTCTTGTATGTCAACTTGTTTTTGTTTAATTTCGACTTGTTTTTGTTTCCTCCTCTCCCTTTCCATGTCAAAATCCAACTTCTTCAACCGTATTTGTGCCTCTGTTTCCCTACAGGCATTATTCTGCTTCATTTGCTCACCAATGGTTGAAGAATCAGAAGCCACTTCTTTTCCCTTATTACGCTTGGCCTTTGCCTTTTTAACACCATCAGGTCGAGGAAGACCTCCAGAACAGAAACCCGTGGATGGTGTATCACCTTCCTCTACGGTTCTACATCGCTTATCACTGCCACTACTATCATCTTCGACGGCATCACCTACAACTAATCTTTCCTCTCTTGACAACGCCCACCTAAGTTTTGTCCTCCACTTTGGGTCATTTTTAACCATTTCCCAACCATGGTGACAATTAAAATTATGTTGAGTAGGCTTGGAGGAAGCATAGAATAACTTACTGGCGTTATTAATTCGATCTGCTTCGTTGTAGCCACTTCCTGTAACCCTTCCTGCTTCGTCATAGCAGCTACTTCATTGTATTAAATCAGCTGCCATCCTTCTCCAACGACTTTCCAAACTCCTCAAAGGTCTTGGTGGTAGAATGTGAGGTTTCTCAGCCTGCGCTTCATCATATGCCGCTGAAATTTTTCTCCAAAGCACAGATGCTTTTTGGTTTGTACCAACAATTGCATCTTCACTGAATTGCAGATACAAACCAATAAGAGTTTCATCCTCCGCAACATACCACATTCGACTCCCTTTTGTAAGTGGTTGGTTTTGATTGACAGACACTCTTGGAGGAGGTGGAGGGTATTGTGGAGTATCTGGAACACTTTCTTCCATTTCATCTTCATATTGAGAATTGCTCCCTTGATAAACAGGAGGTGAATGTGGTGGTGGAAATTGAGGAGGTGTTTGTTGTGGTGGAAATTGAGGAGGTGTTTGTTGCGGTGGATATTGAGTAGCTATTCGTTGAAGGAAGGTTTGAAATCGAGGGTTAGTGACAAAATCATCACCCAAATCAGAAAAATAATTAGAAAAATCTGGTTTGTTAGGATCCATTAGCAAAATAATAATAATAATAATAATAATAATAATAATGATAATAATAATAATAATGATAATAATAATAATAATAATAATAATAATAATAATAATAATAACAATAATAATAATAATAATAATAATAATAATAATAATAATAATAATAACAACAACAACAATAATAATACTACTACTTTTTTTTGACAATATAATAACACGATTTTTTTCAAGGATTAATAAATTTAACAGAAATAATAATAAAGAAATTATTATTAATAATAATAATAATAATAATAATAATAATAATTATAAGAATACCAATAAAACTACTACTTTTTTTAAATTAACACTACTACTACTACTACTAGTAATAATAATAATAATTATAATAATAATAATACTAAATAATAACTGAGGTTTTTTTTTTTTTTACGAATAATAATAATAATAAAAATGATGAAAATAACTCAAAGAAATTGGGAAAAGAAGGAAATTTGTAGTATTTATAGGTTTTTTGAAAGTATATCAAAATATATCAAAATGCATGTCTATTTATAGAGAAAAAAAAAATCTATCCGTTGGTGAATTTTGTTTTTTTTTTTTTTTTTTTTTTATAATTACAACGGTTATATTTACCTTACAAAAATATAACCGTTGTAATAAAAGCAAAAAAATCTGATTGGTTGGAAGGATAAAGCCTGACGCGTGTCGCATCCCCATTGGCTGGGTCTGACGCGCGTCAGGCCAGCTGCCCCCTCTTTTTTTTTTCCCTTTTTGCCCCTCAAAACGGCGTCGTTTCGCCCTTCTTTAAGGCAAAACGACGTCGTTTTGCAAGCCAGAAGGGAAAAAAAAGGGAAAGACGCGTGTACGAGTGGGGCCCACTTGTTACTGTTCACGAGTATTTCCCCTCAACTCTTGTGCGTTTTCCATAGCTCTCAACGGTGAGGGTTTTTTCCCTCACTAACGTAATGCTCGGGTATTTTTTTTACACCCTTATTTTTACTCGTGAGGGCTTTTCTCCTCACTGCTGGAAGTGCTCTAATAGCAATATAGAATAGCCCATCCTTTTAAGGGTAATGTTGTGTAATTGTGTATGTAAAGTATTTGGGTGTTTATTGAGTATTTCTTATTGATGAGGGGCCCTTTGTTGGTTTGGGATCGGAGATATAGGCATGTAGCCCAATTTTGTGTAACAATCATTGCTTATATGATGCTATTTGTTGTGTTGGTATAAGGTCATGTCTAGTTGCTTACTCATGGCCTGGGACTTGAGTGATATAGTATTTAATTTTTTTTTTTTTTTTTGATGAGAAGGTGTTATAGTACTTCATATTATAAAGAGGGAGATTAGTATCCCCCAAACATTCAACTAGAGATGTCAATGGGGCGAGGCGGGTCAGATGTTGGCCTTCCTATCTCCATCCCCACCTAAAATTTTCATACTCATCCCCATCCCCATCCCCGCGACGGGTCTAAAATTCATCTCCATCCCCACCCCGCGCGGGTATAACTCCAAAACCATCCCCGCCCCACCCCCTACTTAGATATCCACCCCCACCTAATCTCCACCTAAGACCCATCTAATCCCCGCCTCCCAAGTACACAATCCTTCGTAATAAATAAAGATGGCAAAAAGAAAAAATTATTGTTAACATTACACATTTTTTTGTTTATAATATAAGTGTATTACAAAGTATTATATTTACTATTTTATTTTACATAATTTGTTTTTAAAAATAGTATAATAGTATATAATTTTGTTTTTAAAAATATATGAATGTGGGGATAAGGCGGGTACAAAGTGAGGCAGGACGGGGATGGGGCGGGTACAACCTAAAATCCACCCTCGCCCCATCACCCATGGCGGGTATGGTTTTTTTCCCCGTCCCCGCCTCATCACCCGTCAAACCAAGACCCATCCCTACCCCAACTCACCCGTCAAACCAAGACTCATTCCTGCCCTAACTGGGGCGGGTCTCCTATTTGACCTGCCCCACTGACATTCCTATATTCAACCCATCTGACCAACTCATATTAGTAGTGGATTAATTAAATTTGGTAGGTTTGTTAAAAATAAAAAACAAAAAATTGACTAATCATATTAACAAATTATGTGTTGTGTATACAATTGCTCCGTGTAGGTAATGTCGTTTTTAGCATTAGCATCTCACCGCAACTTTGCCTAATTAACACGGTAATATCAATTACGACAACTAAATTACCTTGCTCATGTCATGCGAACATCTCCTCACACTCACAACCACAAATACCTCCATATTATCTAGTATAACCATTGTCTAAAAAAAAAACATATACCATCATAAACCCACACTTAAACATGGTATTAGTTTTAGTTGAATAACGTAACATCTTACAAATTATGAAATGTTTGGTTTATGTTTGGAAAAATTGATTAGGACCACACCATGGAATTGTATTATACTCCTACACGTATATAATTATACAACAATATCAGTCAATTTAAACGTGTTAAATTTAGAAGAAATAATTTTGGTCAATTGCAACACAATATTTTTTGGGGAACTTTATATTTCAGTCTTCATAAACTTGTCAAAGAAAACTATTGGAATCTGCATGCTAAGATTTTGCATGATAAGAAAATATACTAACGATGGTGAGTACTTTTGTATATGGATTGATTTCAACCAATTGTCTCCTTATAGTAGTTGACTTTTTTCATGCCCGAGAAGCAACCACCTCCATCTAAAATTTTAGCTATGTCATAGTCCTTATAAAGACAATATAGCACACAACTAAGCAATAGCTAGAGGTTGACCATGATGACAAACTTTTATAATTTTGGCAAATGAGAGCCTTAACTCAAAATTCATACTGGAGTTAAAAACAAATTACGGGCCAAAATCCATGTATACATCCCAACTCCTAAGTGAGTAAGTTAGCATCCTTTCACTTTTACTATGTCCCGTAAACCTCCTAATTTATCAAACTTACGAGTGTGAAATTTTTTTTCTATTATTACTTAGTGTTTTCTCAATTTATGTCATAATTGATAATTGAATTAGCTTATATATCCATCTTGTAAATTGCATTTGACATCAATCATGCATAACAATTTCATTTTTATGGAATTAGAAAGTTGTTTATTAATCACAAAAATGTCATGTAGGCTGTAGTTCCGCATTGGCATATGAGTGATGTAATCCATTTAAAATAGAGCATTTTAAGAAGAAAAGAAAAATCTAAGAGGATATTTTGATGGAATTAGATTATTAGATTTAAAGATGGTTGTGGGTTGTGCCTTGTGTCATGCTCAGGTGCTTCAAGATTGACTAGACCTGACCCTCGAGTTACTTGTTGTGCCAAAATTTTCTGAAGATTAGCCCATGCACAACCGAAGTCCACATACCACCATTAGAACCGTGTCATGCCTTGTTATATTTCTCTAAATAAAGGCTTTCTAAGCTCGACCCAAAATCCTTAATGTATCGTGTCATGTCGACTGTCGTGTCTACGTCGTGTTCATGCGGTGCTTATGTGGTGTTGTCCCCGCTTAACCAAGTGCATCTTTTTTAAGGTTTTTGTATGCTCGTATGTTTTCATCTTTCTTCTCCTTTGTGCTTCACTTTTTCGATGCACCCTTTTCTCTCCTCCATTGAAGCGTACTCGGAATTCTCCATTAAAGCGGCTTCTGAGCTTCTCTCCTCCATTGAAACAACTTCTCAAGTAAGATTTTTTTTCTTACCTTTTTTATTTGATTTTATATTAAAATCATCGAATATCAATTTCACAATCTAGGCTTTAGCTTCATACTGTCGTGAATTATTCGTCTGTGTAATTAAGTTAGGGTTCTTTTTAGACGAACTATTGGTTATAATTACTGAAAATATGAAATAATTTAACGAGCATTTCTTTGCTAGAATTTTCTATGTGCAATTTGCGTTTATATTCTTTAGGAGAGAAGAATTTTATGCCATTTTGAGCCTTAATTGATAATTGAGTCAAATTTGGTTGCTAATGTGTTGCATGATTTTGCTTATATTTCCTTAATGTTAAGATGAAACTAATTTTTTGAATATATTTACTGTGATTTTGAGGACAATTTTGGTACTGTTCTTAATTTGGTTTTTCATTTTGAATCATATAATGGTTTTATGTTATAATTTGGTGATAAATTTGCTAGCCGAGAAACTTTTGTATGCTGCTCATTTTATATTAGAAGTATGTTGTATGTGAGCTTTTACTGATTTAGGGGTTAGCAATGTTTTTCCTCATTGTCCTGTATCATTTGAAGCTTGGACTAATTTTATCGAGTATTTTCCTAGGGTGACTTGCTGTTGAATTACATCGATCCTTATTCGAATATTAAGCCTGTGGCACATTTCATGTTGAATTGGATTTGCTCCTACACAATTTAGTTATAAGTATTACCTTCCAGTTTCTTCACTATGGTTGCAAGATGGAAGGTAACTAGGTAATTTTGTGGATTTGGCTGCCCATGCTATGAGAGCTAGAGGTATAATGGCCATGACACATCACAAGGTGTTGATTGTTGAATTGATCCAAGTTTCAAAGAGTAATAACCCCAATGCTAAATTGGTTTTCTCATGTTTTCATCTATCGTTGTATTTGATGTTTGAATAAAAAAAGAGACTTTATTACAACACTAGAAATTATTTGTCTGAAATTGACTCGTAATTAAATATTTCTTCCACGAGTTATCGATACATAATATAAATAACTTGTGATTAATTATTCAGTTGTATGCATGCAGGCTAGTGTTTCATGTTGGAGCTTGACTAGAAAGGAGGGAACTTTGTTGGTTGAGTGATATATATATATATATACAATGGATTTTTCTCCCTTCAAGCAAGATCTGGATGAGCTTTTAAAAGAGTTTTCTGAGGTATGCCTTTTGCAGCCATATGACTAATGAGTTTTGCAGTTCAAATTGGTTGGAAATTACTGGTCAATTTTGAGTAACTTCCATCTCTGTCCCATTTAAGTACGTAAATCCAGAACTCTAGATGTGTTATTTCGTGATGGATTGGTATTCTTTTACATGACTTTGTTTATAGTCTTCCATCTCTTTGAATGGGCTGTCTTTTGTGGAATTAAACTCATAGCTTTGCTCTTGCCAATGCTGCATTGATTTCAATTTTGTATAGTTAATTCCAAAATGCCAAAAGCATGTTTTGTCTTGAAAACTAATAGTGATTTTTTTATTTGGCGTACAGGGAGAGCTTAAAACTTTAGCAGACATGAAAAAATTATGGCTTGAACGGAAATTTTCCTACGTATTTGAGGCTCGACCTTCTACCAGCCTGAATATATTTATGCAATCTTTGTACAACCATTCTATAAGTAAGTTACTTCTTTGATGCTTAATGATGTAATGACATACAGTTTGTTTTTCATATGCATCTTGTATGTGAATCAACAAGGTGAACTTTTCATCATTTTGAGAATGTATAGCCAGTTCTTCCACTTTAAGTATGAGCTATAGTTGGATGTCAATTATTGTATATAATATATAACTAATTAAGGTTCATGCAAAGTTATTTTGTTAGGTTTAACCAAAAGATTGAAAATGTAAAAGAATTAAAATATATCCAGCTTGTCTATACCAAGCTTAAGGCTCTAAGAAAGTTCAATTGCATTTCAATTGGATTTAATACTTATCTAAATGAAACATATAAAACGTATGTGATGCTGCTCATGACTCATCAAGTGAACATTTGCTCCTGCTAGTCTGTTTGCTAATTAGAAGAGTGGGCAATTTAGTTGAAGCCTTAAAGGTCAGTGTTTCTTATAAACTGGATTTGTAGCTCCTACTATCCTTGATTTAGACTTATTATAACAGACACAAGAAGAGAACTCTCCTAGAGCTGTAAATCTCAGGGATTTACCATTTATACATTCATTAACGTCTCTGCAGTATGACTTAAGCTCTTTGTCCATTACACATACTGAGGGAGTGAGGGTATTAACTATGTGCATTACCTATAAATGACCAATCTTCCATTTTTTTTTTCTTAAATCTGAACACCTCCTTGCTTTATTTTGTTTTCATTGCTTTATAATTGTTCCATTACAGTATAGGACCTTTTCTCTGTCCTTGAGTTACATGCACTGTCTGCCTGTAGATGTTTGTGAAAGAGCTTGCATAGTTTAGACTAGGGCTACAAAATAAATACTGTTACATGTAACTATTGCCACTTTTCTATAGTACAATGGAAACACACTGCACATGCAATCAATCAAACACCAGAAGATGTTCTGGTGAAGACTTCGAGCCGATATAATGGACCTCTGATTTGGTGTTTTTTTTTTTTTTTGAGAACAAACCAATTATGTTCATATTAACTGCACTAGAGCTAAAATTAATGTAATGGTCTTAATGACACATCTTGGTAGCTTTGAGGTTACATCTTTCTAGAGAAGAGCTCGCTGTTAACTTTTCCAGCCAGCTGTGAATGGAGTCTTGTGATGGCTACTTTGAAATTTTTAGAAACTTCGGTTTCCTGATAATGTTCAACTATTGATTGAATTGTTAACTTGATAAGGTTAGCATTATCCGCATTGGTTGAGTTCAAATTAAAAGAGTAATGCCTGGATTTTTTAGCATATTGGATGGGGTGAAATTATAAATAGTTGTATAGGAAAAATTAGGAACTCTTAAGGACTGGATTTGGATAGGATGGCAGCACAAACTAGTCGTTTTTCTTTCAAAAGAATGTAATTCATTAGCATACTGGATGCCAATTGAATATAAATGTTAAAACCACATAAAAGAAATGAATGCGTTTGTGAAATGTACACCCATTTTTCTTCTTTAGTGCAAACGACAGTGGAACATCTGGAATGTGAGATACATAAGCACCTATTGAATTGATATAATGTGTGAGTCGACTGTTAAAAAAGAACTGAGAATCTGAAGGTCCAGATTATGTTATGATTGATCCTCTGAGCTCAAATATGGTCAAGTGAATTTGTATACATACTTATAGCTGTATATTGTACTCATATAAGAAGTAACCCATGGTTTTGATCCAGCCTTTTGCTGTTCCTTCCCATGAATTACGAGCTCTGGTTCTTGTTTTGTTAAGTTGTTTGATGTTCTGTAATTTCATGCATGGTATGATTAGATAGCCATTTCAGAGTCATGAGTAGGCTAAGTGTCTTTTAATTGTCCTCTGCTTTAAAAAGTGGTTTATTTTGTTGATGTTGTATTGCTACTGATCTGGTCTAATTCATGGTGGTTGATATTCTGTCCCTTTTTAGTCTTAATATGTTTGACAGATTGAAATCCATTTCCTTTTTTTGTTTGACGAATTATTTTAATCTCTATCTTTCCGTGAACATATGCAGGTTATATGATCTCCACTAATTCTTTGTCACAGAGACTGGGTGCCCTTTATGCCCTCTATTGTCTCTACGAGACACAGCCATTCAAGCCTCCCTTCAAGATTTATCTCTCTCTTGGTAAGTAACTGCTTTTGCATATGAGTATTTTACTTTTTTCACTTCCTTTTTGAACCTTAAATAAAATACAAAGTTATTCATATTAGATGTATGTCTATAATGTCACAGCTGAAGAAGTTACCTCTGATTGATTACTCTTGCCTTGCCCCTTCTTTTTCAGGTGGCTTATAACTAATTATCTGGAAAACTAAATATACTCTTCATAATTTCTTTCCCCTGAAGTGATCCTGGGGAATTAGTTTCCTTCAAAGGCCCTCATCTTAGTTATGAAATTGGATTTGCAGAATTCATGCAGTCTAATAAAATGGGAATATATTGGATTCGTTTAATCTTTTCCTTAATACAGTACACAACATTACACAGCAAATTGATATAATATAAAGTGACTAGAAAATCATAAAATTTGGCTTTATTGGCGTATTAAAAAAAAAAAGTCTTATATTTCTCTTCCCAGAATCAATAGGCAAGTAGATGTGTTCATGTCTTGTTTGATTGATTGGCATACATCCTTTCACCCTCAACCTTTCTTTGAGATGTAACCTCCTCTTGATGGTTTTGACAGGAGAATTACGAAGACTAACAGCTCTGGTTGTAAATGCGAAAGAAAATGGAATCAAAGTAGTATCTGTTTTGGTCAAAAGGATGCTAGAGAAGAATGCATTCTTGTTTGGTTTCGTCAACATAAATGATTATTCTGAGAAAGAGAGAATAAAGGAGTTGGTAGATGTGCAGAATGCCTGCATAAAGAAGATGCATGAAAAGTATGTCTGACACTCATAAGTTTAGTATTGTAGCTTTATTCAGTTTCATAACTGACCTCATCTTGCTGCTTTTCCTTCTTGTAGATTGTTGGCGAATACTGAGATTGAGCGTTATCTTCACATGGACATGGTATGCTGCGTACACCTGTGATTTTAGGTTTCTTTTTGGCTGTGTCTTATATTTTTTTTTCTAATGTATCATGATATCACTGTCATATAATTTGATGCCAAGGCATATTGATCAAAACACACACATTGACACACACACACACACATTTTACGCTATCACTATGAGACCTAGATATGTCTAGGCCTCTAGTGTGCCTTCTTCTCTTTCCCCTCTTTCTCATTCAATTATGTTTTCTATTTTCTTAGTTGGTGTAGTAATTGGTTTAATCCTTAAAGTTGTTTATTTTGAATCATGTACGAACCACCTTGAGGTCATCAGTAAATTTTTTTGGCTATAATCTTAATAAATCTGATTCTGTTTCTACTTCCGCTGTACCATGCAAACTTGTTAGATTATAGAATAGCTTTTACTAAAGAATGTAATTACTTACTCTGAGGAACTCTCTCTCTTCTTTGCTTCTTTTTTCTGCCATCTTTTGAACTTTCTCACAAAATTGTTTGGTGAATTATTAGTTGATACAACACACACGTCTGATGTACTCTGAGCCTTTTAAATTTGGATCTGTGAAAGCAATTTTGCTGCTGATTGTGTCTTAATAGCTTGAATTTTTGGAACAGGGCATGGAACTTGACCTAGAAGTGCTCAGGAAAATGGCCAATGAATATGAAGGAACTAAAAATCTTGCTATCAGAGGTATTCTTTGCAGTACTTTATTGCTCTTTCCTGTTGCTATTATATGGTCAGGTTTATTATTCCAAAAAGTTATCTCGAGTTAGCTGTGTCTTGAGTCTCTTGACTTGAATATTTTCCCTTTTAGGTCTTGTTTTACTGCACCCCATTACTGACAGCCTATTAACCAAAGATGCAACCACGCCTTAACATTAAATACTCATAGGAACCATGCTTTGTGTTTTTACGCGAGCACTCTTGTTTAAATAGCGCCTATAACCTTCTTTGAATCTCAAGCTACCGCAATGGCATCATGCCCCAGGTTTACATAGTATTTTTAGCTTAGCAACCTTAGCCTTAAGCTAAATATAAGGTCAGTTTGTGGAAATGATTAATTGTGAAAGTATCCCAAATTTTGTGTTTGATTACATACATGATTCTTGGTCCTCATCTTTGCTAACTTGATTTATTTATTATTTTTGTTTTCTTTTTAAAGAGGCCAGTAGGGTAGTCGATACCGAAAACATAAAGCATATTGCAGAAGATAGGCTGACAATTGGAGATGAAGTGCAAAAGATAAACGAGGAGTGGGGAAATCAAAAGGAAATGTTCTCACAATTTATAGGAACAGACCAGCATTCTGTCATAACTCATCACCAGAGAGAAGAGAGACACCACAAGCAACCAATGCTACTTTCTGCCGCTGAACAGCATCAAAGTGAGGATGAATTACAACACACTGGTTTCATGGAGCTTCTTATGGGAAATGAATCACCATTGGTAAATGGAAATATTCAACAGGCTCCATCTGAGCTGCATTTGATGCCTGATGAAGAGCAAGATTATGACTTGGAGTATGCTAAGGATCTGGAAGATCAATTATTTGATGATATATTATAATTCATGTTTATGACAGTGGGAACATTGTTAATAGCTAGGTTATATGCTTTATTGTTTCAGGGTGTAGATAATCTTACATTTATTATGGAGTATACATTTATTGGTGTTTAGACATTTCAATTTTCAACAGTTATCTATATATAACACATGAAAACTTAGATATGCAATTCTCTTTTTGTATTAAAGTACTTCGGATATGCCTTGCACCCGAGGCCATTATGCTGGCCCTACATTATAATTTTGAGTACGTCAAATTCAGTACTATAGTAATATTACTGTAATAATCTTACAGTAATGTAGTAACAACAAAGTTTACATATGGCCTTGGAACTCAAGAATAGAACCCTTGCTATTGTGCACCTCCAACACTACAGCATACGAGGAGCAAGGGAAAAAGAATATATTCATAGTAACTATGACAAACACTACATAATATAAAAACTAACTTATAGCTCAACCTCTACAATGTGAACCTTCTTACTCTCCTCTGGCATTTGATCCAAACTCAAAGTGACCAAACCCGAACCAGAATCGTACTCAAACTTGACTTCCTCGGACCCAACTCGGCACCTCTTGGGCCTTGTTGAAGAGTAAGCCCCAAACACCCCACAACCTTTCACCTCCATTTGGACCTTCCCTACCATTTCATCACCATGGGCAGATCCATCTTCCACTCGTGCTCCACTCCTGACTTGGTAGATTAGCCCGTCAATGGCCCCACCGGCGTTAAACATTTTGATTAGCCCAAATGGGGCAAAGCTAATGCCTGGGGCTAAGACCTTAATGGGCGTTATAGTGAACACATCACATTCCAAGACCTTTAGTGACACTGGCAGAGATACATTGAATGGCAAGGTGATAACCTCACCAGTCTTGTGACGGTAGACAGCACAATCCCAGTTCCAGTCGGTGGGGTCCACTGCGGCCTCGGTGATGAGATGGATATCTCGGCCACGGACAACGCCTGTTAGGGCTCCGGGTCGGGTTGGATGGAAAATGTTCTTTCGCTCAGTAATACTCCATGCTGCCCCTTGGCAGTTGTACACTCCTAGCACACCAGTGTACTTGTTCATGTTCCATATCTTCAGCAAGCTGCATTTTTGTCACAAGAAATTAAATGTTAGACATTGCTATTATATATTACTCCCTCCAAAAATAAAATATGTGTGTACCGTTTAAGAGTAACATCGCAAAAGTGCCCTTTTATTTGTTGGGGTGGGATTGAAATAGAAATGTCTGATTAATACTATCTTGAAAATGGACATGGTTTAAGTTAATCAAAAAGGTTTAGCGTTGCCATACCTATTACCGTCTCGAGCTGGATCACTGAACAAGCAATCACGGGTGGGTCTACCAGGCATACGAGGACGGAGCACTGATCCATCAGGCAAAACAAGCTTCCTAAGCAGATCAAAGTTGTGCTTTCCAGGTGCATCACTGTAACAAAAACATGAGAATAAATCAGAAACATAATCTACTAAAATTGGTTAACTAATTGTGACACAATCAGTAAGAAAAAAGAGACTGTGCAATAGTTTTACGTACCTGGCATAGATTGGTCCTCCACTGATAGCTCTAGCTGAACCATGGTATTCACCGGCAGGGTGGTCTGAATGGAACATGTCCCAATCAGGTTGCATAAACTCCCCTAAGAATACACTGTTGTAAGCCACGGCTGCAATATGTATGGTGTGCGACACAGGGTCTCGCGGGAAAAAATCATCTGATGCTCTCACAATCGCTGTTTGTTTTGAGCTGTTCATGATATAACAATCATAACATCAACATATGCGGTGCTTAATTCAAGCAGTGGTTTCTCTAGCCAAAATCTATCCCTTTTGTCTGTTAAGTTAAACTAAAGATGAACTACTGATTTTCATATGTATGTAATAACGATTATTAGTTAGTTTATTATTAATGCCATTACGAGAAAATCCTAACCCCCCCCCCTCCACACACACACACACACACACAAATAATAATAATAATAATAATAATAATAAATAAATAAATAAAAAATAAAAAATAAAAAAAAAATAAAAAAAAAAAAAGAGGCATATGAAGGTAAGTTTTAAGGCAGGACTCGTCAAATGATCAAACCCAAGTAAAACTGGTAAACCACCTAAAGCATTACCAGCTAATCCGATAAGCACAGGAACATTTCATGTCAGAATCACCAAAAACAGCAAAAACTGTAGGATTACAGGATTGTCAACTTACCAATACAATGCATCAGTATTGTGGCTCATGCATGCAATGCAACCATTGTCTGGAAAATTCCTAGCCACGGAAGCATCAAGAGCTTGGTGGTATTGCCTAGTGAGCTCCACTCGACCACCAAACCCTCCGCCTAAGGTCTCCAAGATACACTGCACATCCACCTTAACCCCATCAATTCCCTTAGAAGCTAAGTAACTGTGCAAGTCATTATAGAATTTGTACACACTCTTTGGGTTCACTAATCCTAATCCCTGCACCTTCATAGGGTCACTCTTCCACACCGGCTCATTTTCCACTACTCCCTTAGACACATTAGGGTACTTCATCAGTGACTCATACTCCTCCATCTCCTTAACCCCAGGGCGGACTCCACCCCAATATCCTGTGATGGCGTGCCATACATACACATATTTCAACCCGTATTTTTCCTTAGCTATATTAACTATGTTCTTAATCCCAACACTAGGGTCATCTTTTTTTTGAAACTTCTCATTCTCCTTAATCCCAGTTAGTCTTGGCACAGGTTCATCCTCCGAATTATCTTTATTCTCTTCAGATGAAGTTTCCTTTCGTGGGTCTACCCCGACAGACTGCCAACCATCGTCAATGATCACAAACTTAGGCGGGGTCCCACCTGAGGAGAGGCTAGCCAATCCAGCTTCAACACCTTCTTGGGTGACTTCTTTATAAAATGCATCCCAAGTACACCACCCAAAGTAGTCAATAATCCCAGGCAACTTCTTTTCATGACGTTGCCTAAACGTCTTAAGATGAGATTTAACTGCCTTGATCGCTTCAAAGATGGTGGCGTAGGGATCAGTCCCTGCACTCACAAACAGAGAATGAGTAAATGAAGTCCCCTTGATCTCATCATCCCCACTCTCTAAACAAAGCTCCAATTCATCTTGTGCATTTCCCTGTAGACAAGCCCTGAACGAACCCTCAACCAAAGGCAGGAAAACTGCATAGATGATCTGATTAGCTTCATCTCCACTGTCTGATTCAATGTGCGACCCATCCTTGGTCTCGACCAATAAAAACTGAGTTTCCAAAGGGATGTCACCACCTTTGTCACCCATTTTTTGAGCCATCCACCATAACTTGAATCGGAAACATGCCATGAACCGGACATCTCTAAGAGTACCTAATGACACCACATGGCTGCTGCTAGGTTGGTCGAAGTCAGCCCCTATGAAAACTCCCTCAACCGGACCAGATGATGAACCGGATGTTGCTATCACATTATTGGGTACTCCAGTTAGGATGGTCCGGTCTTTTACTATAACTTTCCCGTCTGCAATTCGAACAGCTGGTGCTATAGTCATTTCTTTTTCTTTCTCTAGGCTCTCAGCCCTCTGCCAAAATGAAAAATTTCGTGAGCAAATATTAGATTCAAGGCAATCAATTTCCACGAGAAATGACAAACAAAGTAACAAACTTTAACACAATAAGTGACTAGAGATAATGAAAAAACATGTTAAGTTTATTATGTTCATATTATCTTGTGAAGGGTTATACATACAGGGAAATTGGATATATTGCAAATTTGGGCTTATGAGCTGATAAGCTAATGCCTAGTATACAATATCTAGATTTATACGGAGTAATAAACAACAAATCGAGATCTCAATGGTTTTTTTATGTTTCTTTAAGAAGTCGTAACCTCAAAGGTCGTTGATACCACCCTCAAGACTTTAAAAACTAAGCAGCCTAAGCTAGTTAACGTCCGTTGGATCAAAAAATGGTACTACTCCATACATCATACATTCATACATACAGGTTTGTACAGCTTATGGAAAATAGTTTGTTACATCATACAAGTTTGTGCAACTTATGCAAAATAGTTTGTTATAAGACTCGGTACTGAAAACGACCCCCCTAATCTCATGGTGCCAAATTCGTTGTTACGGTACCAGATAGTAAAATTAGATCCGCTTGTCTAAAGCTCGATCTTGGTACAAGTCCATAACAATCAAAACCAAATCACGGCGTTCACAAGCCTATTAATGAACCAAATGCAATGAAAAACGACTGGTTACGCATAGAAGAGGCTACAAACTTGTGAATCTTGACCAACTTGAAAGATCAAACGGAAAATATAAGTTATGATATGATATTATGGTTAGGATTCAAATATAAGCTTAAAATGGGAAATTCTCAATGGTGACCTCCAACTTTTGTTACGTATCAATGGTGACCTAGGGTAGCGTAGCCGGAAAGGGTGATGATGGCTGGCAGGTGGGGGTGGCTGGTTTTTGGTGGTTGGGGTTAATTTTTTTAATTTTTTTTTTTAAATACAAATCTAATCATAGTTAATATTTAATGAAATAAGGTTGAGTGAGATGAAATTAGGTCATTTTGTATAATAAAAAAAAAAAAAAAGGAGGTGATCATTGATGCGTATCAAAAATTGGGGGTCACAGATGAGAATTTCCCGCTTAAAATTCACATAAAACAAGCTTAAAATTCTTGGACTAGCTTCAAATTCTAAATCAAGATGATCAAATATCAATTGAAACAGGATAAGCAAGTTCCTAATCTTTATGGTACAAAACTAAGGTTGTATAAAAATTTATCAAAATAATCTACGTGGATAATTTTGAAAGAAGAAACATTAGACCCACCTAGAAATAGCTTATAATAAATAAAAAATAAATAAATAAAAAAAAAATCATACTACCAAAATTGTACATGATATATCAAGTACGTAGTATATGTATTTTTATGCAAATAAATCTTCAATTAACAAATCCCAAAATAATTGGACAACAATAAATTCATCTAATCATCTTGTCCCTGACATACAATCCACAAATTTGCATTTTATATCATCAATCATGTAAATGTTGAATTCAATTTGCCAACTAGTTTAGAGGGTTAAAGTATCAAGATCGAATCCCACCAATATAAATAAAATATAAAATCAACTGATCTCTACATTATAACTAAAACCCAGAAAACATTCAAATAAAAACAACATGAATCATATAGCTACATTATAACTAAAACCCAGAAAACATTAAAATAATTACAACATGAATCATCTAGCTGCATTAAGTAAAACCCAGAAAAGATTCAAACTTTCATAGATAAACAAATTTCTTACCTGGAAAGATTTAACAGAGAAAGGCTGAAGATGATTGATTGACTTGCTGGAAGATCTTAAACAATTTGAGGAGAGAAAATTTGAGTATTTCCCAGAATATTTAGGAAATTGATTGAAAGAAAATGGCAAATTTGGATTTTTTACTGTAGAAATAATGTACGAGTAGTTTCTCTTGTTAATTGTTTGAGTAAATAGAGGAATTTGAGATGAATTTATAGTGCTTCTAATTTTTGTGACCATTTTTTTTTTTTTTTGGTTTTATTTTATTTTATTATTTTAAGAGGGAGAAAGAAACAGGAAAGTGGGAAACTGTTCTCTGCTTGAATGTCTAGATTTTTTGGGTTTATACTCAATTTTACTAAATGGAGAATATATTGTTGACTTGTATTATGATGATCCAACGGTTGGTTATGGATTATTATTAAGTTTGATGGTTGATAATTGTGACACGTTGGATCCACGTCTTAGCTCAATCTAGAATCCCTACTTTTGGGAATTTGTTTGTTTGACTCGCAACAAGGCCGATAATAAAAAAAATAATACGAAGTATATCTCTTATAATGTTTGGACAATTACATCCTTTAAAATGTTATTCTCTTATTAATGATGCCAAGTGCTAACAATTAAATTGTTTATAACAGTATAAGGCCAAAGCAAAAGAGTTTCCTAGACATGACGCAAGTAAGCCGTCCCAGGTAGATTATCGTGTACAAATGTACAATATGATTTTTTTTTTTTTTTTTTTTTTTGTATTTAGAGAATCACAGGGGCAAATGAGAATCGATCCCAAGATCACCTGAAATCGAAAAAAAAAGTTTTAACCACTTGAACTATTCCTCACTCTCATGAGATTCTATCATTACCAGTAAATAAATAATGAGAGCGAGAAATCATTCCATTCAAAATACTTTATATTAGTCTTTCCTCGGAATAAAAAAAATACAAAGTATTTGTATTAATTAAATTAATGTTTTGATTTCATTTCTCTTTAATTGCTTAGTCTTTTAAATCATTACCTATAATTTCAATTTCTTGTTAATCAAAATTATAAAAAGCCTTTTTTTTTGGGTAAAGTAAAATATATGATTCGTGATTAATCTTGATAGTACAAGTAGAGTAAGATTCTAGTTGTTGATCTACAGTATTTATTTTCTAGAGTTTTCATAAATCACTTGAACAATCATAGAAGATCAAATCTATTTTTAATCATATATATGGATTTGATTTATTTGTCCCTTTTTGTTGCATCACAATTTGTTGATTTGTTCACTTGCTAAGTGTTTAAGCAACCTTTTTCACTTCATTGAAAGATAAAACTATAGTGATCAAATAAAATTATAATTTATAAAATTTGGTCATATTTAGTTAACTTCTTGTAATATGCAAAGAAAAATTTCTTAATTGCAACGGCTATTTTAGCAAAAAGTCAAGAAAATTACCGAGTATAAAAGGAGAGGAAGAAAATGAATTTTGGTTTTATCTTGAAAGAAAAGCAAAAAAATAATAATTATGGTACAATTAATTAATAAAATAAACTCAACAATTATTTTTTGGGAGGGAGGGAATTATTTTAAAAAATCAATAGCCAAAGATGCATGTGTAAAAAGTATTGATCGTACAAAAAGTCAAATGCATCAATTATTTGAGACAAATAGATGAAATAAGTGTTTTTCTATAGTATATATATTGAAATAAATACTAGTACAATTGACATTCCCTACTCCAAGGCTCCAATACCGCGTTGAACACGTAATTTTTTATAGCAACCTGAATTCATCGTAAAACTAATGTAATATTTCATTACACATTCTCCGTAATTCGGTATATGCTACATATTTGATCTCTTTTTTGTTCAAACCATGCACATATATAAGAGTAACCTAATTCCAAATAGTACTCGTTGTAGTTGGTAGGAGTTTCACCTTATGGATTCGGTTCTTAATAGCTGCATTGAGCCTGACTTGTTTAACTAAATCTGATTACTCATAAAAAGTTCCGATCTAATAGAGTCATTCTCCTTACCCACTAAAAAAATAAAAAAAAAAATAAAAAAAAAATGTGATAGACTCCTACTTCGTGTATGTTTAATTTTACTTGGTACAGTGTTATTAATACCGCGTAGCTTCCGATCTAATCCTTCCACGTGGCTCCAGCTAGTTTTGTAAAATTCTAATCACGAATTCACGACTCTCGCTTTACGAAGTCCAACATCCTCATCAATCATAATATGAGCTATTAATCGTAACATGATGATGAGTATAGAGTTAAAAGAAATTTTTTATACTTTCAACGTCATTACATTTTTAAGTCGTTAATATTACACTTATACAATCAGTCAATCATCATGTTCAACGTATATATATTAGAGCCGTCGAAACATTCTTAAGCAAAGCGTGAAGTTATATATTTCATCCAAGAAATTGGAACTAGAAGCGGGAGTTGCAAGAAAAATCAACTAATTTTAAATTTAGAATCAATTATAATTATAGAACCATCATTTTTATTTTGTTTTTAATAATTTGTATAACAATCATTTAGCTATGTACGTGTAATCTCATACACAATGCTTACATATTAATCTTTCACCATTTTTCTCAAAATCCAATGGCTGAAAATCATCAATAAACTATCAATTAATTGATCCAATGGCTGAAATTACTTGTTGTGGTGATATTATTGATAGGAAATATATATACGGCTTATAATTTTGGGTGTTGCGTGACAGCAAAAGCTATTTTGGATTGTTCATATAAAATTTTGTTTCTTGTCAAATAATTGGCATGATGATAGCTCAACAGATTGTGACTAGGTAATCCATAATTAAAAATATGTGAAAAATGGTTGTTCTATATATGATTGGTGCCATGTATTGAGGTATAATGTATATGGATAATGATAATGAAATGCTTATTTTTGCTAGTTCGATCTCAAAATTTGACCACTCATGTCAAAGAAAAAAAAAAATTGACCACAAAATCTCAACAATTTTGATATTGAATTGGTATTTTCAGTCATTAGTGAGACATTTAATTATAAACTTAAAATAATGTGTAGTATTTTTTAAACATAAAGTTTCATATGTGGCTGGCCACACTGAGTGGTCAGGATTACTTATTCAGGGGTTACTCGGTCGGTATGGGGTTATTTGGTCAAGAGTTACTCGGTCGGTTAGGGGTTATTTGGTCGTTATTCAATCGGTTAGGGGTTACTCAGTCAGGGGTTATTTGATCGGTCAAGGGTTATTCGATCAGTCATAGGTTACTTTGTTGGTTAGGAGTTACCCAATCAGTGTTTTGGTGTGTGTAAACCGGCCACATAAAAAACGTGCTGCTTTTTAAAATAATACTACTTATATCCTTTTTTTTTTTTTTTTTTTTGACATGAGCTCAAGCAAGAAAAAAACTAAACTATATAATTAAATTATGATTTGCTGTAGTAGGGAGAAGATGAGCCCTCTCGACCCGGACCCTCGGAAGATTGTGTATACTACACCATCCAAAATTCGTGCTCAGCTGGCGAATTTGAGCCACAGTCCACCTGAGGTTGACATTCGGATCTCCATCTCCCTTGATAATCCTAACCCATTGGCGGAGCCAGAGGGGTACAAGGGGGGACAGTTGTCCCCCACTTCCCAAAAAAACAAGCAGCTATATATATATATATATTATTGTGTGGATTAATTTAGGATACAAAGTGGATGGTGTGGTGGTGAGTGGAGTTGAATTTTTTGCAAGATACCAAGGTTCGAACCTTGTTGTTGTAATATTTCCTTTTTTTTTTTTTTTTTTGAAGAATCCTTCCATTATATCTATTAACCAATACGAATTTATTTACATAAGTGTAATTGTAATATTGCATGAATGGAGCCCCTAAATCTATTGTCATTGAACTTAAGTGGAGTATTTTCCATTCACTTTTTTTTCTTTATAATGTTTAATTAAGAAGTATTCCTTTCAATTTTTTTAATTAATATATACTAAGTATATATATTTAAATAATAATTTTAATTATGATATTGCATGAACAAAACCCACTAAATTAAGTTTGTCATACAAAATTATACATTATAACTATTGCATTTAATAACCTATATTTTATAAAGTTCGAATTTATTAAAAATTCCGAACTCATAAGCGATTAATTTTGGAGGAAAAATTGATATATGATGTTGATTTTTTATTAAGTACTCTGTATTGTGAATTTTTTGAGTTGTACACATTAATTATTGAACACTCGGTGTATTTAAGTATTGGTGTTTTTTTTTTCCGAATAATTTTTGTCAAACTATGTAATGTCCATCCGTCCCCCCGATTTAAAATTTCTGGCTCCGCCACTGTCCTAACCAGTGACGCCAAGTCCGTGTAAATGGTAACGAAGTCCAATAACCCAATCGAATCTGATCCTCTAAACACTCTATTGTTCCTTGAGACCCACACTCCCCATAGACCACCTTTCCCATCCAAGCTTAGGGACAGCAGGATATAGTACGGAATCCAGTCCAAAATTAATATTAAGTATCCTAATTTCATATAGTATAAGTGCCCTTTTTCGATAACGGACTCCTTTCATGAGAAAAATAAGGTGGAGGGATCATATTGGTTTAGTGTGTTGCATGTCATTAAGGGTATGCCTTTTATTTTCACTTATGTAATGAGCTTATTTAAATTTAATATGAAGTACAACTTGCTTTATTTATAAATTGAACTTGAATGAATAACCCTGTATTAACTTATATATATATTCTTAACTTTTTCTTCTTCTTTTTTTTGAATAAGTTGAAATAAGATGAACAAAACAAATTATAATAAGTAATGTAAATTTAACGATGTTAGTTGATTGTAATTTATTAGGCTCACTCAATTAGCTAGGAAAGAAGGGTCCCAAAAAAGGTTAAACACTTGAACTAATTTTACTTTATTGGATTTGTTCTTGTCTATGGAGGGTGACTCCATACACAAGTGTGCGGTTAGAAGTTAAAGAAAAAAAATATGGAGTACTTGTAAAAAGAATTATCTTTTCGCACGGGTCTCCAAAGATACAGTATTTGTTTTGTTTTACAACTACCTTAGCTTCATGTCTTCATTTTTTTTTAAATGGTAAGAAGAAGGGCTCATTTGAAAGGATAAGGAAATTCCTCAAATGAGTCTCATGAGTTTGATCTCTAATTACCTAGATCTTAAGGATATAAGGTGGGAGCGATGCCACTACTCCATCACCTCAACTCCAGCTTAATGTCTTCATGTGTGCAACATATATGTGCACCATTGACCGTGCGTATAAGTATAGGTGTCATGCCTTCATGAGTCGGGTTGTCGGGTTGAGTTAGGTCTATTTTAAATTTTTAGTCATGCTAAATTATTTGTCCAAACAAATCACAATCTGAATTTGGTTTTTTTCGAGTCGGGTTGATTTTTGACACCTCTACGTACAATATTTTTAGAAGATATCGTCCTTGATTTGATATATTTGGAACAATATTTTAAATGAAATGTCATTTAACATCATTAGAAAAACAATTAGTTACGATTATTATTAGGGTAAGACCATACGTCTTATTTTTCTTGATCATTGATATGAACAACATCCTCTTTAATTATAAGGTAAAGATGTAATATATATCGATCGCGAAGAAGAACGGTAGTTCCAGTAATAAGCTAGGTTGTAACTACATTAAGCAAAGTTGAAAGAATGATTTCCCTAATTAATTATTGATTAGTGCTTTAATTCCATGATATTCCTCCAAATGTTAGCCTAGTAGAAAGGCAGAGGTACGATTTTTGTTGAAAGTGGACATTGTTGTGCATGGAAAATTGTCAATGAGTTGTATGTCACTAAATGCTACACCTACTAACTAATGATTATATTGCCGGAGTAGTATTTTTTTTACCTAATTATTATTATATTGTTAGTTTGTCCAATTAAAACCTTGTTAACAAAACATTTTTGAAATAATTCTTAGATCAAGTTGACGAGAGATAAAATTAAATTAGAAAGACTGAATATAAGATTACAAGAACAATATGTTGATACCCTGATGATCAAAATGAGCAACCAAAAGATCGGGGGCAGAGGGAGTATGTTAGTTAAACCCTAGCTAATTGTTTGGGTTGCTTGGATAGTTTTTAAAGTAATCCGTATATAAGTATTATGAAAAAATGCAGTAGCATATAAGGGCCTTTTAGTGCATGTTATAGTGCAACTGAGTCACTGAGAAGGATCTCCACGACTCTACAAGAATTTAATAGTGTATCATCAAATTTGATAAGTTATCAAGTTTGAAAAGCAAGCCATAAAGTAAACAAAAGAAAGTTGAAATAGACCGCAAATATTAGAATTATTGGCAGAAGTAGGTTAAAAAAAAAAAAAAAAACCCATATATAGGAGTCCATACATTGATACATGTGATCGTAAATTAGATCATGAACAGATATATACACGGTATTTATAGATCGAAAAAATACTTATATAATATATACACTCGTATGGTACGGTACTCTCGATCTGTTCATATGGAGTAAACGACATTATGATTAAAATAACTAGATTAGTATCCGTGCGATACACGATAATAATAATCTTTTTCCCATAATGAATTTTAATATAACATAAAAATGAGGTAACTCGTGTGGAATAAATAAATGCAATGCATATAGAAAAATAAAGTAATAAGGCAAAATTCATTAAAATTACAATTGAGAAAGAAAAAAAATTTATTGTTGATTAGTTGAGTTGAAAATACTTAAAAGTAATATACATTATATTACATTAATAATGCATATTATTCCCAATATAACTATACAATCTAGTGACTATATGACTAAAGAATTATTTATAAATGTCTTTTAATAAACATCAAAACATTAATCAAACAACAAACTAAAATCTATAGTAAAACTATTGGCACAACATACATGTAAAGTATATAAATTACAAATTAAATAATATATCATCTTTATATCCAATAAAATAATTTCAATGGAAATAAATACTACTTAGATCATTAAAGGCAATAACAATCAATAATTAGGCAACACTAACCTATATTATTAGTAGTACATTTTCTGTTTATGGATTGATACTTTACATGATATTGTCGCTCTTTGTTATTATATAAAAATGTGTTTGAAAGCTATCCAATAAGTGTTTGATCATTGTTTGTTTAATTATTGCCTTAAAATTTTATTTGTCGATGATAGCTATTTATCCAAAAAACAAAAAAAAAACACAAGAATATGTCACTTGTCACTATGTCCGACGTGTTTTTTTAAAATGCAACTTATTCATGAATGTCAAATGTGATAAAATTATTATTTCAATAAAGTGTTTCAGCAAAAGATAATAACTTTTTTGTATTTACTAAGATATTAACTTCTTTTAATAATGTAATAACAAAAAATTGATTGATATTTTACATTTTTGAATTAGACATATAATATAGTTGTCGAACACAATATTTATTTTATGGTCATATCTAATACTCCATTAGTCTAATAAACAAAATAAAAAGGAATTTGAAAAAAAATAAAATTAAAGTGATGTTTTAAAGTAATTTCTTTAATATCAATTACTTCAATATGAATCAATTTTATAATTACTTTTTCGGTAAAACTCAATAATACTCGTTTAAAAGATAACTAAAAAAGAGTTGGAAAACTATTTAAGGTAAATGTTCACGGAAAATTTTAGAACACAATAAAAAGGAATACATTTTATATAGAGATTATATATAAGTTTGGAATAATATTATTATAGTTTCATTATAAAAATATTGCAAAAACAAAATTTTTTTGCTAAAAGGGGAGGGGGAGTTTTGGAGGGAAAAAACAGCACCAAGATGTGACACATGTCACTCCCCGTGCCTGTTTTAGTATTAAATTATTGATTTAATTTATTTCTATTAGTGTTATAAAATAAAAAATATAACATGTGTTTGGGTCCAATTTAATCAAATTGTGCCAACTCCACAAATGATTCAATTACAAAGCTCAAAGAAGGTTCAACTCTCCTAAAAGCACGCCAGATCAGTTAAAGGCCTAGTCAACATGGCAAACCTATTTGACTTCAAGGCCCAAGTTATTTATTTGAGCAAGGTATAAAAGCCTTGACTTTTCTCTATTTACGTTCATCACTTCAAGCTTCAAGCAATTAATTCTCTTGCATAGTTTTCTCTCTCTAGAAACCCTATCCTGACTTCGGCATCGGAAGGGCTTTGCTCGGGACAACTCCTAAGACCAGTTTACGTGTGTTTGCTGTGCAGGAAATCCTCGTCCCAATCATCACTTGGACCGAATCCAATCTTCAGCCCACAAAAAAGTTCAGACGAAGGATCCATTGTTTTCACCCAAAACAAGATGTTCTTATCTTACTCGTGTCGGTTTAAACATGTACATAGTACTTATGTTCTTTTGATGCATATTCAGTATCGAATGTATACTGTAGTGCATTCGTTGTTATGTGACTTTTTATTTATGAATTTATTGTACTAATCTAAGAGCACTATCAATGGTGAGCATTTTTTTTGCTCATGGGCATATTTGATGAGCAAAAAATTTGATCATCAATCACAATGGTGAGGAAATGATAAAAACCAAACAAAAGCCCATGAACAAAACCAAAAAGGCTCAAAACATGAGCATTTTCTTGGATGAATAGTATTGCGTGTAGGCCCCACAACTGGCAGACGCATTTAAAAAAATTTGGCTGACCCCATATCAAAACGACGCGTTTTCATGAAGCAGCCTTAAAGGCGCGCCTCAAAACGCGTCGTTTTGAAGTTGCAAAATTAAAAAAAAAAAAAAGGAATACTGACTGACGCGCGTCAGTCAATTGGGGAATGGGAGGACGACACGTGTCATGCGCAGGTTCACCAGCCAATGAGAAAATTATAGCCGTTTACAACGGTTATAATATTTGTAATTGATTTTCTGAAAAATATATTTAATTAAAAAAAAAATTACCAACGGTCATAAAATTAAATTCTCTATAAATAGACATGCATTTTGATATATTTTGATATAATTTCGTAAACACTTTAAATCCTCCACATTTTAATTTTCTCAAGTATTTTAAATTTGTAGAAGAATATTTTTTTTGCAATTCACCCATATTCAGGTAATTTTTTTTTTAATATTTAAATCCAGTTTTGTAATACAATTAGTATATATGTGATTTTTTGAATAAAAAAAATATTGTAGGCTACGTAATTATATTGCATTATGTAATTAAACAAAGTTTTTGATAATTTCTCCATAAATTACTAAATTTGTAGTTATTAAAGTGTTGCAATTATTGGTTAATTTTTTTTTTTAATATATACATGTAGTTATGTATTAAAATTAGTATATATGTGATTTTTTGAAAAAAAAAATATTGTAGACCATGTAATGTAATTGCATTATGTAATTAAACAAAGTTGTTGATATATTTTCTCCATACATTACTAAATTTGTAGTTAATAAAGTGTTGCAATTATTGGTTAATTTTTTTTTTCTAATATATAAATTTAGTTATGTATTAAAATTAGTATATGTGTGTTTTTTTGAAAAAAAAAATATTGTAGGCCATGTAATGTAATTGCATTATGTAATTGAAGAAAGTTGTTGATGTTTTCTCCATACATTACTAAATTTGTAGTTAATAAAGTGTTGCAATTATTGGTTAATTTTTTTTTTAATATTTAAATTTAGTTATGTATTAAAATTAGTATATATGTGATTTTTTGTAAAAAAAAAAATATATTGTATGCCATGTAATGTAATTGCATTATGTAATTGAAGAAAGTTGTTGATATTTTTTTGGATTTGTTGTCATTTTAATTTGTTTTTTGAGTAAATGTTTGTAAAAATATTTATCTTTTGTTTTGTGATGCAGAATCTTTTAATGGATCCAAACAACCCAAATTTCCGTCAACAATTTTCTGGTTTTAGTGATGATTTCCTAACTAATCCCGACTTTCAATTGTTCTTGCAAAGAATGGGCAATACGTCTTTGCAACCACCTCCACAGTATCAGACACCCACTTAGTTTCCCCTACGAAACCATGTTAATGAAGAATGTACACCTGAAACTGATCATGATAGCAACACACAATTCGATGAGAGCGAAGAGGAAAGCGTACCAGAGATGTCGCAGTATCCTCCACCGGTTCCCAGACTGAAATCCAACGAGGTTGCTGCACGAGCGACTCAAATTTGGTCTGTTGCGGAAGATGAAACTCTGATTGGGTTGTACTTGGAGATCAGCGAGAATGCTATTAAAGGTACGAGCTAGAAAGCAACTTCCCTTTGGCGCAATGTACACGCAGCATATCAAATGGCTCATGCGGAGAAGCCGCATATACTTCCGCCAAGACCTATGAAGAGTCTGACGTCGCACTGGAGAAGGTTGGCAGCAGACACACTACAGTGGATATCTTGCTATGATGAAGCGGGTAGACTTCCGGAGGGAGGGAGTGGTTACAACGAAGCTGACCGTATAAAAAGTGCGTCGAAGCTTTTTCATCTCGCCCAAGGTCGCAACTTCGGTTTTCCTCACGCGGTTGAAATGCTTAATAAAGATCCAAAGTGGAGGCCAAAGCTGAGATGGTCCTTGTCAAAGAAGGAAAGAAAAGTTGCTTGTGATGTTGAGGAGCAAGGTAGTGCTGGAAGTGGGAAGAGGTCCAGTGATGATGGAAGGGATGAAATTCCTACGGATGGTTTTTCATCTGGAGGAATATAACGACCCAAAGGTGTGAAGAAAGCAAAGGCTAAGCGTAAAGGGAAAGAAGTAGCTTCAGAAAGTGGTTCGTCTGAGCTTAGCGAACGAATGAAGGAATTTGCTACAATTCGCAAAAGGGAGGCCATTCTGAAGGAAGAGAGGATCAAAATTGAAAAGGATAAGGAACAGAGGAAACGGGAGGAACTTGACATTCATAAGATGAGAACCGTGTTTGATATGCTGCAAACTCTGAAGAATTCGCCTACGCCACTCACTCCTGAAGAATTCGTCGTACAAGAATTTTTGACTGGGTAAGTTACAGGGCTTTTAAGCATGTTTGGTTGTAGTAGGTGTACGCTTGTATTAGTTAAGTTTTTAATTATGCGCAATGTAGTCTTTTATGTTTAACTTGTATTACTGGTGTGTTTAATTTCAATGTCATATGTAAACTTGTATTCTGATTTTCCAATATTGAATGACAAGTTGTTTAACAAGTTGATTTCAGTTGTCATTATTACCGACATAATTGCATTCAATTGTTGTCATTGGGTAGTCACTTTTTTCTAATTTCACTTTAACTTTGGGTCATTCATACCAACATAATTGCAATAACTCTTTGTCATTGAGTAGTCACATTTTTGTCATTGTGTAGTCACATTTTTCTGAATTAACTTTGTCAGTATGCTTTAACTTTGGGTCATTGATACCGACATAATTGCAATAAGTCTTTGTCATGGTGTAGTCACATTTTTCTGAATTCACTTTGTCAAGATTTGTCATTGTCAACTAGCATAGTATACCTATTCCGTGGCTGAAAATTTGATTGCTTTAGTTGGTGTGGCCATTCAGATTTGTAACCACATATTCATTTGATATATTTGCTATATATAGTACGCATGGCACATATCCACAACCACATACAATATTAATACATGATGTATTCCAGACCATCATCAAGTTCAAGTTCAAGTTCATCTTCTTCCAATACTGAAGAATATGATCAACTCGTTGATGAACTCTTCACATACCAACCCCCATCTTTCCTCATGCCCCAAACACAATCCCAACGTACTTCAAAAACACGTAGAGGGGGTACGAATAGAAGAGATAGTGAAATGGGACATGCCAGGCTGTTTAATGATTATTTTTCCGATAATCCTGTGTACAACACCACCCAATTTAGAAGAAGATTTCGTATGCAACGACCTTTGTTTTTACGTATAATGAACAAGGTTGTTGAAGGTGATGTTTACTTCCAGCAGCGTAGGGATGCAGCTGGAAGGTTAGGCTTATCACCTCTACAAAAATGTACAGCCGCGATAAGAATGTTAGCCTACGGCATGGCTGCAGACGCCGTTGATGAATACGTTCGAATCAGTCAGTCAACCGCTGGAGTTGCCCTTCAACGTTTTTGTGCCGGGGTCATTGATCAGTTCGGAACCGAGTACATGTGAAACCCTACAACTGATGAATTGGCCCGGATACTGCATCAAAATGAACTGCGTGGTTTTCCAGGCATGATAGGCAGCATTGATTGCATGCATTGGGAATGGAAGAACTGTCCAACGGCTTGGAAAGCGCAGTACGCCGGTAGGAACAAGAAAGCAACGCTAATACTGGAAGCCGTTGCGGATCAGGATTTATGGATATGGCATTCCTTCTTTGGTATTCCCGGATCTTGTAATGATCTTAATGTGTTGTACCGTTCATCACTGTTCGATGAGGTTCTGCATGGTCGAGCTCCTCCGGTAGATTTTACAGTTAACGGCCATGAATACAACATGGCTTATTACTTAGCCGACGACATTTATCCGAAGTGGGCAACTTTTGTTCAGGGTATCACATTCCCTCAACTGGCCAAAGATAAAATGTTCGCTGACCACCAGGTTGCTGCTCGAAAGGACGTTGAAAGAGCTTTCGGTGTTTTGCAAGCTCGATTTGCAATAATACGAAAACCGTCGCTGGCGTACGATGAGGACATACTGCGGGACATAATGAAAGCATGTATCATTATGCACAACATGATTGTTGAAGATGAGCGCCACAACTACACTCGAGCCGAAGTTCTAAAAGCCTTCTACGAAGAGGATCAACAAGAATTAACACCAGCATCAACGTCTACAACGCCACCGTTTGAATTCAATGTAGGCCGACCTACCGACTTTGACTTTAACGCATTTTTACAGCGAAAAGCTTCCCTCCGTGATAGAGAAATTCATCTATCTCTGAAACGTGATTTAGTCAAACATATTTGGTTACAATACGGGCCACATAATTAGGGAAAAATTAGCACAACTTTAGGCCAAGTACTATGGCCTACCTACTTTTCCGTACGCAGTCGAGTTTTTTTTAATTGTTGTGTTTATTTTATTTCCTAAGTTTAATTACGCATGACGTTGCAAATGTAATTGGTTTCTAGTATTATACCGCTTTTAAAATAAATAAAAACATTTGAGAAATTTTGAGCTTTTTTTTACAATTATTTCATATAACGTACTTAATTTTACGACAAATTTTAACGATAAAAAAGACAAAATTAAAAAATATAAGTTACACAAATTTAAACTAGTTTTTATTTATTTGGAGTAATATTGTTAAAATATAAATGAAATTAATAAATAAAGAAGTGTTGTATAGGAGAGAGAAAGTAATGGTGGGGTATTGAAAAAGCAAGAGAGAGAGAGTGGTGGGTGGACATTTTTTTTGCTCACCATTGGGAGATAAATTGTGAAAAAAATTTGCCCATGGGCAAAACTAATTTGTTGAAAGAGAAAGTGGGTGGACATTTTTTTTTGCTCACCATTGTGAGTGGTCTAAATCATTAATGTGAGCGCTAATAAGCAAACGTGCGAAAAATGACTTATAATGTACTTATAATATGTAGGTATACCCGATTGCATTATGGACATCTAAACGCGCACATATATACTTTTCTGTTAAAACTCTCTTTGGACCAAGTGTTCCTATGCTAAGCCCAAAGCCCATATATTTATTCCCACCAAATCCAACAACAAAAAAACGCCCTTTTTCCCAATCTACCATAAATGGCGCGAAAATTAAAAAAAAAAAAAAAACCCTTCCCATTTCTCAATTTAGGGTTCCGATTGAAATTTCATAATTTCACTTGAATTCTGAACCTAATTATACAATCATCTGAAAATACAACAAAATAATGTCGAATTTTTCTGAGCAATTGGAACAAATCAAAACCCTAATCTGTTCATCTTCAAAATCAGAAAAATCATTTGCTTATTCAACTCTTCAACATCTTCAAGAGCAGGCGAGCAGTGATGATTCCTTAATTCAGCTTCTTGTTGATTTCAATAAAATCATCATTTCTTCAATTATCGCTGACATTCGAATTATTGATGCTGATGAAGAAATGTAACCCAAATTCTTTTGTTAAAGCTAGTTTCTTTAGTCTTTAAATTTAGGATTTAAAAAAATTGATTTAACACTTAATTTTATGGTTTGTTTGTTGCAGTTCTACACTGGCTTTGAAGTTTTTAGGGTTCATAATTTATCATCCTTCTCTCGCTGTAGCGATTTCGAGTATGCCTTTAATTCTTTCTTTTTTTATTTTGATTTGGTTTTGTTAGTGAGTGTAATTGGGATTTTATGGAATAATATGATTACTTTATGATAGCAGCAATCGAATTTTTGTATTGTGTTTTTTATGAATGTATTATGGTATATCACTATATTGTACTTGATGAACTGTGTCAGAACTCGGAGTGATGAACTAATGATTGCTTAGTGGCTCATGTTATTGTTGGTTAGATGAAGGATTTTCCATAGACTGTGAATTGTTGTTAGACTAGCTACAAGGGGAATTAAATGAATTAGAATACGAATTTGTAGCATATGATTGTATTTGAGGATATTATTACCTTTCTGATTGTGTGGAGTGGTCAAATGCAGAAGAATATGTTGATCAAGTGCTTGAGTCATTGGCTAGGCTGATCACGACAACGAAAATTAAGGTAACAAATGCTTGGTATATTTTGGTCTGATTTGGTGGCGCTGTTGTAGACTTGTAGCTGCTGCACTTAACATGTTGAAGTGTGTGATTGGCTGAATGTAGGTGGTTTGCAATCTTGGCGTGTGGTGTATTTCCATTCAGCAGCTAGATGCATCACATTTAGCTTCTCACTTTGAATCCTTGTTGAGGGCTGTTGTTCATTCCCTTGACAATCCCGTTGGCTCGTTATCTACAACATTTGAGGCTATTCAGGTAATTTCTAGTTCAGGACTGGTATTTACTTAAAAGATATTATTCTTGTTTGTCTTTATTTATTTTGTGCAAACTGCAAAGTGATTAATATCAATGACAATGGACTCAAACTATGATGAAAACGTCTTACTTTTTGCTATTCAATATCTTCACTACAAATGAAAGTTCTAGGTGTGTAGTAAGTTCTCGATTCTAAATCCCTTTGCACAAAGGATTGATGTAAAGCTTCTAAGTTTTTCTCTCTCTCTTTTTTGGGTTCTGTTCCTTACAGGCTGTCATGAAGTTAGCAACTCAGATAAGTGAAAAAATGAGAGACTCCTCATCTATATGGGCACCTTCTATATATCGAAGACTTCTAAGTGGAGAAAAGAAAGAGAGAGATATGTGCATAAGATGTTTGTTGAAGATCAAGTTTCTAATTGTTCCTCCACAATTGGCCCTTTCAAAGGTATGGATGAATGGTGGTTTGACTTTTGACTGTAGAAACTGATAATACAGGGGAACTATCATATATTCGTATTTTACAATTTGAGTGAGGCAGAAGAAACTGTGCTCTTGTGCTATTCTTCCTTTTTGAAGTTTCCCAACCGTTATGCTTCTCATTGTGATTATCTAGTCATCAATATCAATGTATATCTCTTTATGACAAAATATGTGATGAACTTATTCTTCCATGACCCCGCTTGTATTATGATCCTCTTATGGAGCAACTATTATAAAGTAATAGGCGGATGAGTTAGATTTCAGCCATCATATTTGAGCTACTACCTCGTCCAAAGTATGTATTCGGCTTTAGAACCATCTTGGTATTGTCAATTGTGACGCCTTTTTTTCTGCATTATACAAGCTATTAACTCATGGCTGAAGGCTTATAAAGTGTTTAAGTTCTTTTATTAGCTGAAGGTTGTGGGCCTTAGCTCTTGCTATACTTTGAGTAACTAGAGTGCTCTTTAGTTATGCCTTACCTCATGATAATAGATAGGGTCATTTGGAGAAGAATTATAAGATAGTGCATTATCTAGTTTTCATGATTTTTTAATTTTTTTTTTTCTTTTTCAAACAGGCCATGAATTGATAAATTTAGCTATTGCACTATCCCCGCTTTTATTACATGGTGTTGTTTGTTGGTCCATTGCTCAAGACATGAAGCTAAGCTTACTTTCTGGGATGGACGAAATGCTGAAACATGGCAAGAAAGTTCAGGCTCTCCAAGCATGGGGATGGTTTATTCGTATTCTTGGACAATATTCTATGAAGAGTAGGCATTTGGTTAATGCATTGCTCAAAGTCCCTGAGCAAACCTTTTCTGATTCAGACCTCCAAGTCCAGATTGCCACACAGGTAAGCTTTTGTACCATGTTTTTGCTCATGGAGTACTTTACATTGGATGTACTTATCCCATGAAGATTCTCCCACATAAAAACAGCTACCTTGTGTATTTTAACTCAGAAAGGTATTAAAAAAATAGGCAAAGTGGCTATGCACATTGATAAATTTTAGGAAATGAGTTCATGAATTGGTATAATACTTTGTTAAAATGTTTCCAAATGAGTTTATGATTGCTAAATTCAAACTCAGGCATGCCTTTGAACAAGATCCTAAAGTACTGTCAGCTTAGGAATCATGGTACTCCTATGCTCTTTCTTAACATTTAAATTGTTTGCTTGTTGTGCAGGTAGCATGGGAAGGTCTAATAGATGCACTTATTTTCCTTCCGTCAAAAGTATGTGGTGATACTTAACAAGTTAGCGGAGGCACTGTCCAGAATAAAGCATTTTCAAAAAGTTTGAAGCTGATCATGACACCATTAGTTGGAATCATGACAAGTAAAGCTGGTCTTTCTGTCCAGTCATCTTGCCTGAACACATGGTGCTATCTGTTACATAAGCTTGATGCATTAGTAAATGATCCTCATATTCAAGGTATAGTTGTGGAACCTATGTTTAAGGTAGTCTTTAATATTGGACTTGAAGACGATAATATTTGGAGGTGGAGACTCTGCATGGATTTGTTTCATGATATTATCCAATCAAAAACTGTAAGTTATGGATCACACACTCAGGTTGATGGTAAATTATCACCTCCAACAACTGATATGTTAAGTCTTATATCGCTATCAGAGGAATCTGCATTAAAGAATTACTCTGTTAGATGGCTACCTTGGGACTGTAGTCATGTGGATTTTCTTCTGAGTACATTACAGATGATTTTCTGTCAAGTAGCAAAAGCTACTTTGTGCCCCAATAGTAAGAGGTTGGTTTGTGATGCTGCAACGAGGATGTTCTGTCTCTTCTTGAAAGGTGTTCAAATAGATTTTATGAAATCTTTAACTAATTATGATACTGTTATGCAGTTCATGAATGATATTTTGGTGTTTGTAAAGACAGTATGTGACACTGCTTTCAGTGTGGATGATGCAACAATTGACTTTCAACTTATTTGCCTACGGACTTTAGAAGCCGTAACTCAGGAGCTTGATCCTTCTATTCTGGGTTCCTCTCTTTATAAGGTTGCTTTAGCCATGAAGTGTAGATCCACACATGAAGTTGGATGCAATATGCTGACAGGAATTGGCCCCACAAAGCTTATGGAAATGGTTCCACCAATAACTTACTTAACTGTGCATTACTTTTATCTGACGGTTCAACTTAGCAATAAGGAAGCCAGCATTGGGTCTAGTGACTCCAGTCTACAAGAAGCATATAATTATTTTACTCACGTGCTATCTTTGTATGATTCTCTGGAAGTGATCCATGCCATCACTGTTATCCTGTATGATCGATTTGATCACAATTCCTTAAGGGTTTGGATTACAATTGCCCAATGTTTGAAGGAATATTTAGATGCTGCTAAGGATATTGTGCCAATGAAAACCCATTCTGCTAGTACTGGTTGTATTACCTTGTGCCATTTCTTGGTTTATCCACTCATTGTCTGTACCCCTCAGAAACCAGTAATAACCCAAAAGCAGTGCAATTCCCTTATAGCTTCTTCATGTTTCTCAGAAAACCTTTCACAAGTTAAACAAGTGTGGATGTCACTTTATTGTCTAGTGAATTCTACTATCCTGCAAGAAAATCAAAATAAGAATAGTTTTGCAGAAGATCTTTGTTCATCTTTGAATGGCTTCCTCCTTCAAAGAAGCAACATGGGTGAGGTTGATCCTCCTGATAACAGTCAGGAGCACCATTTTCTCTCTTTCTGTGGTAATATAGCTGAGTGTATTTTAAAGAATTTGCATATTGAAAAGTTCACTTCTGAAGCAATTAAGTGTGATTATACGGAATCCAGTGGCATAAACAACTGCTTGGAATTTATAGCCAGGTCAGTGTTATTATGATTTTCTACCCTTGAAATTTTTTGTATCTGTTGTCTCTTTTAGCAGTCATAAGTTGTTGCTTACTTGCCTTATAGTAATGGCCCTGGCCTGGCTCCTGTTCTTCCCCTGTTATTTTTATTTGGCCTGTCTTTTATGTAAAATGTATGAAACCATTTCAAGATAATAGCTATGTGTAAAATGTATAGTGCAGCAGGTGCATCTAGTCAAAATACATGACACGTGAAGTCCAACAAGGCCTTTAATGATCCTGCCAATTTTAATAGAGGGGTGATTTCTAGTTTTTGTGCTAAATTTTGCTAGATATACTTGCCTTTAATTATGTTTTTTTTTTAGTTTGAAAATTGCCAAAATTTACATACTGCACTGCTACTTCGGACTGACTTCATCTTCTTAGGCCCAGCTCATGCAGGTTAGAATAAATTTTCTTAAGAGATAGCTGACATCTTTGTTGTTGATTCTTATAACTTGTGAATCTTCATCACTCGTATCTTTGCTCTTTTAGTCTTTTACATACATGTCGGCTCACTGTAGAGGCCTGATTGTTGTTTATTTTTCCCTTGATAATGCAGGCTTATAAATCTCATGAGCACAGTTAATGAAGCACCAGGACATGTTATTTTAAGGTTATGTAATGAGATCTTACTAGACAATTACATTTATATTTATATGCATGCCTATTTTCTACGGATGGAGTATATTAATCTGTTAATGTTGTATATTGCAGGATACTCCCCCCATTTACATACTTAGTCAGTTGCCTTCAGTGGAAAGAAGATATTGTTTCCTTGTTTAAGGTCTGAGTCCTGCACTCACTGAATTGTTTATCAGGAAATTTCCACGAAAATAATTATGTCATATTTTACCCATAATGTTATGTTATCAGGTTCTCTGTGATCCTCTGCTTCACAAAATAATTATCAACACTCATTCACAAAAGAATTATCAACATTAAATTATCAACCGTTTCTAAGCATTTCCTTTTCTTTTTCTGGAATACCTATGCCTTATACATGGGTATGCTCATTTCGATCCTAGTCGTATTTCGCATGCTAGTTCTTGTTCCTTCCTTGTTTATGATTGTCTTGTTGGACATCAATCTTAGATTATACCTTGATTTATATTGTTATGCTGTTGATATGGGTTGTTCTATTTTTAACATTGTCATGATTTCAAAGTTTTTATGTCGATGTGTTCCTAATTTAAATATTGTTGGTACTTTGGGTCTTTGGTTATTCAATTCTCAGGTAGTTATACCCTTTCTTTTTGTTGGAAAGATGGATTTACGGGTTCTTGAATTACGACTTTGTTGGCCTCCTTTATTCTATAGTCTGTTTGGTTTTTACCTAAGCTTGCAACTTCCCATCTTTTGGCATGTTCTAATTACCGTTCTTTTGGCTATTAACCTGAAGTTATACTTTCTAAATGCACTATATTCTCTATACTTGCATTTCATGATTGCTTTTCGCCCATGTTCTTGTTTACAGCTACCTTGCAGGGTTACCAAAAACACTTTCCATCCATGGATCATGTTACTATTATGTACCGACTCAATTTCTTATTCTGTTATTTTAATTAAAGTTGCAATAATGATTATATTGTCGTTTGATGAATGAGTTATTTTAACCCCTTGGAATCGAGTGCTTGACACCCCCTGTGGATACGATGTGGCTTTAGGGCACCTCTCTACATCGCAACTTCTTGAAAATTTTATTTTGTCTTATTTTATTTTTCCACCGCAAGTATGTATTTGTAATAGCTTATATTATAGAATCGGGGCCTCAAAACCCCAATGGAATTGAGTGCTTGACACTCGCGATGAATCTTATGCAGCAAAGACCCTTTTACCCGATCACACATTATTATTATGAAAATTCTATGCTGGAATATACAAGGTGGATGCTTTGGCTACTTTGGCTGAACTAGTACATTTAAAAAACAAACATAAACCAGACGTAATCTTTGTCTTGGAAACAATGACGAATTCTATTAATAGTAGGAAAATACTAAAATCTCTACATTTTTATCGCACACTTATTATCGAACCAAATGGTCACTCTGGTGGTATTAATCAATCTACTTTGACAGAAAGATGTGCCCACCTAAATATCATTTTTAAACCTCTAAACTGTGAATTGTTAATAAGTGGCATTTACGGTCCAGCCCAAGAGTCTGATAAAAATGATTTTTGGGATTGCCTTGATTCATTTAGCTCAAATGTTACTATACCTTGGATTATTCTAGGAGACTTTAATGAAATGCCGTGTAAATGATAAAATTGGAGGGAGACCGTTTCTTCCTCACCAATCACAACGCCTACATAATTTTATAGCAAATACTCACGCAATAGACATCCCTAGTACCCAAAATTCATTTTCATGGAAGCAATATGTCAATAACAGAGTTATTCATGAACAACTAGATAAAGCGATCTGTAGTAATGATTTCCTTCGAATTTTCCCTAGAAGACAAAGAAAATTTGATGTTTTACAATATCAGACCATGCTCCTCTGATTTATGATTCTCAATACAATGACCAAATTATGCCCCATCGACCCTTTCGATTCCAAAACCATTGGACACTCGAGGCCGATGCTCTTGCAATCGCGAAAAAAACGTGGCCATCACCGATTCGGGGTTCAAGATTCTACATAATTCAACAAAACCGTCCTGTACAAAAATCGAATTAAATCAATGGGCACAAAAAAGATATGGGAATAATAATAATAAGCTCATACTTATGCAGAAAAAATAAAGGATTCTCGAGGAAGCGTTACGCATACAATCCCTTAACCCGATTTTGGTAAGTCATATGAATAGAATGCTACGCCAAAAAGAAAAACTTCTACTCTTTGGCCAACGACATTGGGGTGCCCTTTCTACGAAAAATTGGCTTACGCAAGGTGATAGAAATACAAGATTTTTTCACAATAAAATGCGTAAAACGATAGCTCTTAATACAATTTACAGTATAAAAGATATAGATGATATTTGGGTAGAATCTAGAGAGGAAATCCACAAACTTCTCCTTGATTCCTTCAAATATAGATTCAGTTCTAATTCGCCTACTAGTCGACAAATTGATCTTTCATTTATCGAACCAATTGTCTCACCAAATGATAGCAACACCCTCCTCAGCCCAATCTCTATAGAAGAAATAAAAAGGGTCTTTTTTGATATGAATCCAAATAAATCCCTCGGATCAGATGGCTTTGGGGCTAAATATTTTCAAGCCTATTAGCCAATAGTTGAGAACGACATCAATATAGCAATTCAGAGTTTTTTTTTGCATGGGCATCTTCCCCGCTTTGTGAACCACATTATTATTACCTTAATATCGAAGACAGATATCCCGGAAACCCCAAATCATTTTCGGGCAATTAGCCTGGTAAACACAATCTACAAAGCCATATCAAAAATCCTGGTTAATTGTCTATGTCCAATCCTAAAGAAATTGGTTAGTCCCTTACAAAATGCTTTTACCCCTGATCGCTCAATACATGACAACATTCTTATAGTATAAGAAATACTTAACACCTTCCATAAATCAAAAAATAAGACGGGTTGGTGTGCACTAAAGTTGGACACGGAAAAAGCCTATGACAGGATTGAATGAGATTTTTTTTGGGAAACCCTATTAGGTTTTGGATTTACCTCAAAATGGATTCACTGGATTCAGGAATATGTCACAAAAGTGTCATATTCTCTCAAAATCAATGGAAAAACTACATAATGGTTCAAGCCTTCAAGGGGGCTAAGATAAGGGGACTCCCTATCTCCGTATCTTTTTATCTTATGCATGGAAGTTCTAATTAGAAAGTTATCCCTAGAAAGCCAAAAACATAAATCAGGGATTGGGTTCAAAATTGCTCCCCGCTCATTTAATATTCCGTGTCTCCTTTTTGCAGATGACAGCTTAGTTTTATGTAAAGCTACAGCGTCGGCTTGTAATAATTTAAAGAGAATACTAGACGAGTTCTAATCCTCCTCTGGTCAACTAATTAATTTCCACAAGTCATCAATTATTTTTTCACACCAAATTACAAATAGTCGTCGCACTGTCTTTGCAGCACATTTTAACATGACTCCCATTTTATCTCTCGGAAGATATTTAAGGGTCCTTTTTAGCTCCTATTACCTTGTGAAAAAAGATTTTAAGAGAGTACTTGATAGCACCCAACAACGAATAAGCTTTTGGGAAGCAAATTACCTCTCTAAAACGAGTCGCCACACGTTAAATCCAAAGTAATTTAGAAGCCTTTCCGTCCTACATTTGTTTTTCGTCTCTCCTTCCCATTGATATTGCGAAAAATCTAGACTCTCTCCATAGAAATTTCTTTTGGAGGCAACAAAAAGAAAAGAACGGTACTCCTCTAATAGCATGGAATAAAGTTTGTAAACCCAAGAACCACGGCGGCCTAGGTTTAAGGCGAACCCTTCCCTTACAAAAAGCTTTCCTAGCTAAGTTAGGATGGAAGATCCTATCAGACCCTACTAATCTTTGGGTTTAACTCATAAAAGAGAAATATCTCCATAGCTCCTCTTTTTTTACTATCAACTTCAACCTAAAGACTCACGTATATGGAAAACCATTCTCGAGCAAAGGGAAATTTTGCGCAAAGGCATTCGCTGGAAAATCGGTAATGGCAATAACATTTACTTTTGGCTAGACAACTGGGTCACAAATAAGAGTCTCCTAGAAACCTTGGAGTTATAAGGCCACCAAGTCAACATTAACTTAAAGGTTGCAGACTTTATTCTCCCAGATTGACATTGGAATAAACATAAGCTTTGTTCTTTATTACCAAAATTTATTGTACAACTAATCATAGGTATCCCCTTACCTAGCTCTCAAATGACTGACACACCAGTATGGGGCCCTACGCCTTCGGGGAATTTTTCGGTAAAGTCGGCTACATGGGTAGCACATGATTTAGAGCCAAATGCTATAAAATGGCCACATCGTTGGCTATGGAAACTAGACATCCCGCCTAAACTCCAAATCTTCTTATGGCAAATAATGCATAATAGTCTTGAAGTTAGAGACACCCTTTATAAAAGAAAGATTATTCCTTTCAATCTTTGCACCTTTTGTTCCACTTATCCGAAATCTCACGATCACTTATTTCTTACTTGTGATAGGGTCAAAGAAATTTGGAACCACACTTTAATCCAAAACTGGTTGCTTGGTGCACTTCCACCCACAGACTTAATAACGACATTATCTACGCATTGGAAAAACAACTCCTCCCTCCGAAAGGTTATCTTAGACTTTTGACATCCCTAGAACCTTCCACCGAGCGCAATTTGCGTTCAAACAGTGGAATTATTGCATTCTCATAGATACCTCTTTAAGCTTGGGGTCTCCGAGATCCCAAACCCATCATCTTCCTCACCCAAACCACCCCAACCCACAATTAGTTGCATGGGAGGCTCCTCCTCTCAACTCCTTCAAACTCAACTTCGACGGTTCGGTCAAAAACAATTCAGCAACGGTAGGAGTCATCATCAGAGGCAGTGATGGTACACCCATTGCAGCACAAACTTTCAACCTTGGAACCACCAACGTCTTTGTAGCCGAAGCTTTTTGTCTCCACAAAGGAATTATCCTCACCCTCCAACAAGGAATACAAAATCTTCAAATTGAAAAGGACAACTTCTTAGTTGTCAACGCAGTGAACGGTATTTGGTCGACCTCGTGGAAGATTAATCACATTATAGCAGATATTAAGATCCTACTTTGCATATTCACCCATTGGGAAATTCGGCATGTCTACAGAGAAGCAAATAGAGCAACAGATTGGATTGCAAATGTTGGCCATCTTGTCACAAGCAAATTGGATATTTCTGTTTGTACCTCTTCAGCTTTGTACCCCATTCTCACCTCGGATGCTTTAGGATCGCCTCTCGTGAGGAGGGGGTCCTAATTCTTTCCTTTTTTTCTTACCTTACAAACAAAAAAATAAATAAATGTATTGGGCATTGTTCGAGTCAAAATACTAATCTATAGATTTATACTATATACAAATATTAGCATCAAAAGAAATGTGATCAAAATCAAAGTAACAAAAGTATCTCTACTGAGAAAATGAAAAACTCCCAATACTCACGCATAAAAATTTAAAGATATGTAGTAATTAAAAATTCACACGTAAAATGATAAATATGTCAAAACTTATTTTTTATGACGGGGACTTTTTTTTTTTATTTGATATGAAATAAGGTGAACTAAACACGTCCAAAGTTTAGCTTGGTTATATATATCATTTCTTGTGCATAATGAGTGGTATATGGTAATTCATTGAAAAACTATGGAACACCCGGGTGCACCATGTGCATATGTATAAAGAATGTGAACAAAAGAAGAACATTACATACATTAACAAAGAAGGCAAGCATAATATATTCTTTGAGTTTGATCATTATGTTATTTGGGTATGAACTCTACTATTTGTTCTTTAATGTCTATAGATTAAAAATGCTCTTTGGGTTTCAATTATACAAAGTATGTTCTTTTACTTAATTAAATAACATGTTATTCTATGCTCGTGTTTGTTTGTTCCTTTATGTTAAGCTTATATTTGTTTTAGTGTCTAGGTTATTTGAATTTATATCTTATATTTTTAGAATTTGACCCTTAATCTTCAATATCATATATTAATTTTATATATATTTTTTTTGTATATTAATTATCATCTTCTTGTGTATATTTTTTTTTAAAAATCGGGATTATGAAGGTTGATGATGATATTCTTATAGGAACTCCTCTATTGATGATTGATTTTCAAATCTAAAGAACATTCGTAATACCAATAAAT